AGGGATGGGGGAACCCAGGCCCGCTCTCTACTCCGGGTTCCAGCCCAGGGCCCTGTGGATTTCAGCTGTCTACAGTGGCTCCTGTAACAGCTGTGCGACAGCTACAACTCCCTGGGCTACTTCCCCACGGCCTCCTCCCAACACCTTCTTTATTCTCTCCACAGGACCTTCCTCCTGATGTTTCCTGTTGTCCAGCTCCTCGCACGCACCACAAACTGAAGTGAGCTCCTTTTTAAACCCAGGTGCCCTGATTAGCCTGCCTTAATTGATTCTAGCAGCTTCTTGATTGGCTGCAGGTGTTCTAATCAGCCTGTCTGCCTTAATTGTTTCCAGAAAGTTCCTGGTTGTTCTGGAACCTTCCCTGTTACCTTACCCAGGGAAAAGGGACCTACTTAACCTGGGGCTAATATATCTGCCTTCGATGAGCAGATTGTTACAGCTTCATGTACTGCTATCTATCGGAGAAGTTCTTCTTTGTGCAATCTATCCTTAATAGTAGGTGAGGGGGAAGAAGAGAAGTTACAACTGTTAAAAAACTGTGTGTTGTGGGGAACATTCAGTGGTTCCTAATTGTACAATTTTGTTTGAAATGAAATAGTGTGTTTTTTAGCCATCATGGTTGTAGAAATAAATATACAAAAACATGAAAAAATCACTCTGCTGTAGCCATCTGGCCCAACCCTGTCACACTCCCTTTTAACAGAAGGTTTTTGCCTGGGAATTGCCTGTGTTTTTTAACTTTTCTCAGAGCATGTGGAAACCCATACAACAGCAGTTCCCATGTAAGTGAAGAATGTATGTAACTGTACTGAGCATTTGTGAGGTTCCATGTTATGCAAAAAGGCTGCCGGTTTGGAGTTCCCTTGTGCTGGCCTCTTATCTGTCACAGCAGCTGTGCAGATAACAATAGATATTCCTACATTGGGCTCCACTTAGCTCCTGTGGCTCTAAAAAGATCACACTGCTTGAAAGACAAAGTTGTTTTGGAAGTAGAAGCAGCATTATGTTTCCTCAGTCAGCACCTGATGTGTTTGCTGTAAGCTGGCGGCAGGTCCTTACCCAGTTTCTCTCACCTTCACAATAAAGCTATGCCTCCCTGAACCCCCTGCACTTACCTGTCTCCTTCCTGAGCTGTGGCATGTGCTACTGTTACAGTTGCAGTCATCTGTGCAGATGAACAGTGAGTCATGGATGACCTACCATGTGCCTGGTAGTACACAGGCTGCATCTCAAGAGGCTTCTCTTTGCAATTAACCAATTCTGGTGCCACCTGCCTTTTATTGCTCTTCTGCTTCTTTATTTCCAACTGCTAGAGATTGTCCTGGGCTTGATGGGATGTAAAGTACGGGACTGCTCTTGGGAAATCTGAGTTCAGTTCTTGGCTCTGCTATAGATTAGGGCCCTGGGGCAGATCTCCCCTAAATTCCCAGCTGTGGTGACCCCCACCTTTCTTAATAGAACATGGTGACCTGTTACATGTTCATCTGGTCTGGCCTCCTTAGTTTGTCCATAAATAGCACAGACCTAACCTTCTAAACTAGTCCTAGCAAAAAGTTAGAGTGGTGTTGGCTCTGACGTCAGGTCAAAGATTGATCAGGAGAGAACTTGGAGGCTTCATGCCGCTGAGAGTTGGGTCAGTGAGCTCGGCAAAGAGGCGATGGTTCCCTTTTTTATGGTATGGGTGCAGGTTAACACCTATTGCGTTAAAGAGGGCAAGGTGCTCAGCTCCAGTGGTGATGGGGGTCAGACAGCTGTGAGGCCTCAACCTGGGTTTCACGTCTGTTTGAACTCGGCCCTGAAAGAGTCCTAGGTGGAACCATCTGCCCTGCAAACTCTTTTTTGTCCTCCTGACTCATTTTTTTTCCCTTTCCTCCTTTTTTGTCGTGCTGCTGGCTTCCTGTCTAATAGCAGTGCTTCGAGTGGGCTTCTATTGCAGTGAGGTAGCCTGGAGAGAGAAGGTGGTGGTGTGAGGGACTCTGGAAAGCATCTGTTTCTTCCTTCTAGCCTTCTGTTTCCCCTTCATCTCTGAAAGAGGAAGGTGCTGCCTTCGGTGCATCCTGGGACTTCATTACTCCTCGAGTATGGATATGAGAAGTTAGTAAAGTAGTCACTAAAACCTGCAAATGAGAACTTGGATCTGATAGAAATCTAAGGATGCACAGCTACAAAACCATGGCATTTAAGTTACCATGGTCTAGTGACTGAGCCACTGGCTTGGTCTTGAGCAATAGGGATTCATCCTGAAGTATTTGAGCATCTTGTCTCTGTGGAGTGGGGAAGTCTTGTTACTCCCATTTTACAGATGGGGAAACAGAGGCATGGAGGGGAAGTGATTTGCTCAAACTCGCCCAGCGGCAGAGCGGGGACTAGAACCAGACCTCCTAGCTTCTCGTCAAGTGCCTTACTTAACACAAGATCCCCGAAGCTACTCAGGCGCCAGCCAACCCGGATGATTTCCCTGTTGCCTAGAGATGAGAAGGACGCTTCCTCCATATCACCATTTATTGATGCCACACAGGCCCCTGTGCTTTACTTTAGGAAGATAGGCATTTCCGGCACGGGGTTTTCCTCTTGCTCTGGCCACTGCTCCCAGAGTATTCACCAAGGGCTTGCCATGAAAGGAACCCTGGCAGGAAGGCATCCCCATCTACTGCTTCTTGGGCTGCCACAGTGGGGGACCACTGAGAGACAGCAGTGGCAGACGCTCCCCAACGGGTTCACATGGAGGAGTTACTGCTGTGTCCTGATCAGAAGAGTCTGCCAGCCACGCACACAGTTCTGCTCCTGGGAGCAAACAGGGATGGTGCCTGTCTGACTATCAGCACTGCTCTGAGATCAGCACTTCCAGCGCTCCCCGGCAGGAGGGGCCTTTCTGCAGTCACCTCTCTGGTGGCTGAGGAGTGATGCCTTTTCATATGCAAGCTGGAGAGCACTCGCTGGCGCCCCCAAAGGTTGTAGCGTCCATCTGAGGGGGGTGCCCAGTCCTGGGGCTTGGTCCTTGGAGAGGAGGCAGGGTAGAGGTGGATGGAGCCCAAGGCCCAGCTTTCCCTCCATGAGCAAGGGGCATTGTGGAGTGAAGAGTTCCATTTACCATGTGCTAATTGGACAGCTGGGAAGGAGGCTTTCCTGCCTCCAGAGGGAGGTGCAACTGTACCTGTCCTGTGCAGAAAGATCCCTGCGGTTATTCACTATCCTTAGCACAGAAGGCAGCTCTCTGGCAGTGTCAGTCCATCTCAGCCCCTGGCACCTGGATCTGGTCCCCACCGCTCTCAGGGAACATGCATTTGCACCGCGAAGGGAGTGTCTCTTTATCTCCCCTCCCCTACGTTTGGAGTCTTCATTGCTCTCTCTGCCCCTAGAATTGGGGCTGTGAACACTATAACCCGTTTCCCAAAGAGGTCCTTTGTCCAGAGCCAGCCCTCAAGATTGACCCTAAGCTGTCCTGCCATTTGACAGCCTTCTCCAACGAGAATCAAAGGGAGAGAGAACCTCCTAGCCTGTCATTTTCAAATGGCTGATGTGTGTCTCTGGGGTCTACCCAGTGGAAAGGTTATGTGGCTAATGTCAGAGCTCACTGCCAGGGGACAGTGGTGGCCACTTTGAAGGACAATCGCATGTGTCCTAGTGGGAGATCTACTAGGAGTTTTCTCCCTTTGCTCCAATCTCTGGTCCCTCCAGTACAGAGAATGCAGTTAGTGGAATTTTCAGAGCACCCAAGTGATGTTCTCTTGAAATGGGATTTGTGCTCCTAAGTCCCTTTGGCACAAATGAAAACGCCGCTCAGTCTCTGTCTGTAGGTAGTCTCCCTGCCCAGGTCCATACTGCCATCAGGGTCCCACAGGAATGGATCTTAGGACTTTAATAGGAGGGAAAAGAGGAGAGCGTATCTGAGCTATCTGAAGGTTTCCTTTCTCTGCATAATGAGGTCCACAGACCCAGAATGTTGCTACAGGAGCTGGTGCAGGGTTTGGCTCAGTGGAGAAACGCGCCTGTTTCTGTTGAGCTCTGCAGTACGTAGCGGTCTTGAGTTTTTCTGGAAGCAGATTGTGAGGATTCTGTCAGTCAGCCAAGCAGGTAACTTCCACAGAGCAGGAAGGTCCTTGGGGCCTGGGCTGTACCCCTTCCTGGCAGTGACTGGCAGGTCAGGTTTCCCCCCAAACCTGCAGACCCACTATAATGTGGGTGTGGAGCTGGTTGCTCAGTGAAAGGAGATGTCCCGACTTTTCTGGGACAGATCAGGCTGTTGGTAAAGTACAAAGTGTCTCTCACAATGGGCGTCCTTTGAAATCTATTTTCAAAGATCCTTTAATGTGTGGCCTGCACTTCACCACTCCCTGCTCATGACAGCACACAGACCGTGCAAACCAGTGAAAATCACTGGTAGCCAAAACCCCCATTACCCAAAGGTTTGGCATGGCCCCCCCCGAGACCTGGCTCTGGATAATCAGAGCTTTACCTGTGTGTTGACCTATGTGCCTTCCGTGCATTTAGTGCAGTCCATAGATGTTATGGCCAGAAGGCCTGTTCTTTTCTAATCTGATCTCCTACCTATCACAGTCCATAGCACCTTACCCGGTAACTTCTACATCAAGCCCAGAACTGCCAGAGGCTCAGACTGAACGGAACAGGTTTGAGTTGCCGTCAAAGATCATAAGTTCAAAGCAGGTCAGCTGCAGTGTGGCTTGACTCCCACATGAGCTTCCTTTCCCTTTCCCTGAGCGCTGTTTGTATTGCAAGAGGCTGGATGGGCCAGGCACATAGCTGGGAAAATATTTGCACGACAGAAATGCACAAGAGCATGTAGACAGCCTTGGGGAGTGTCTACTCCAACCTGCTTGTAGCGCAAAGCTCTGAAGAGCTGCCTGATGGAATAGAAAGCCATGAGTGGATTGCATCTGTTACAACCTCTGATTCCCTGTTTAGCTTCAGGAATGCTTCATCTCTTCCTGCATCTCCCAGCTGCTCCGTCCTGTTTCTGACAGTTTCTCTTCTCCTGACAGGTTGTTCAGCTTGACCCTGAAGAAGCTTATCATGTTGAAGGAGATGGACAAGGACCTAAACTCGGTGGTGATCGCTGTGAAGCTGCAGGTCAGTGTGCCCAGTCAGCGGCTGAAGGTGGTGTGTTTTGCATGTGGGAGCAGGGTGGAGGGGTTCCAAGCTAACTAGTCACTGCTGCTGCCTGCCTGGTCTCCTGCTGACTTTTTCCCTGCCTGGTGCCTCAGTTTCCCTATCTGAAAATGAGGCTATGCCCACCTGTGTAAAGCACACTGCGATTGACGGATGAAGAGCTCTATGTAAGAGCTAGAAGATAGGTATAATTTAGGGGAAATCTCTAACATGCGAGGTCCTTGCCCTCCAGGCAATCTCTCCTCCCTCAGAACAGGAAAGTGCTGACAAGGGACTGCTACAATGAGGTGGGCTGTGTGTGGGTGGTGGTGGTGGTAGGGGTCGGCGAGGGAGAGGGGGGAATCAAAGCAGCAGGGGATGAGGGTGAGTTGACATTATTCAAGCAGTGAGGAGCAGCCCAGCAGGGCAAGGATATAAATCAAACCGGAATGTTTAAAGAGCAATTTTCTCTAAGGTATCATGAAAGAGGCAGGTCTTAGGAGGGACTTGACTGATGGGCAGAGGAATGGCCTAGGTGAGGAGCACCATGCAGATGTGGTGTGTGTGGGGGAGGGGAAGTGGCCAGACAGGCTGCTGAGTGGAGAGGACAGGCGGGTGGGGAGCAGAGTGAGCAGTGTTTTGCAGTCAAAGGTAGTGGTGGAGAAAGGGGAGCCAGTGACAGGGTCAGATCAGGCTCGTGATCTTAGCAGATGCGCTTTTCCTCGTGTGGAGTGGGACATGGGGCGTGTCAGAGAGCCCAGAAGGGAGCGGGTTACAGCAGCCAAGCCAGAAAATGAAGACCTGGGCAGGATCATTCTCTGTAGAGAGTCTGGAGCCGAGAGATGATCTGGGGAAACAAGCAAGCAACAAGATTTTCTCTGTGCACCCAGCCCTTGGACAAGAGGGAGGCGTGGGACACTGGTGGTGTTGGGGAACGCTAGGAGGTCAGTGTTGTCCCTGCTCCAGTTAGGTGAATGCTGTTACAGATGTAACTTGTTGTGGTCTTTCTGGTAATCCTCTTGAATTGGGCGCATGAGGAATGAACATTGGCCCGTCCACTGCTTACTGATCTGCTAACGTAATGTAAGCTCTGCATCATCAATAAATGTTTAATCCAAGCTGTCGTTGTGCATCTTTCTCTGCCAGTTTCGATGTCTGCAGCTGTATGTCAGGTGATGCCCGGGAGCTCTTCTTTCCCACTCCCCTGTAATGAGTCTCGCTAAAAGTGGTTGCTCTTGCCTACCGTTCAGGTTGTCAGCTTTGCAAGAGATCATTGGCGTGCTTGACACACATTCCCTACTGCTATCTCTCTCCCCCGTTGTCTGAGAGAGCCAGCATGATCCAGATCTCCGGCTGTGATGCCCTGTGGGGATTCCCTGCAGAACTTGGAGAGGAGGTTGAGGGCTGAATCACTTTTGGTTAATCTGTGCAGCTGCTTTCTGTGTTTGAAAGGGCATGAAGAAATTAACCCCTCCTTTCAGGAGCTCAGGGGGTTTAATTCAGGCAGTGTCACTATGTCTGCAGCCCTTTAGCTAGGACACTTGGATGGTTAATTACCCGGGGGGGAAAGGGATGCCCTCAGAATTTCCACCACACATTACACTCTGGACACTTGAGCCATCAGAACGAGAATCCATTCACAATATATTGTCCAGATCTTCAAAATCGAACTTTCCCGCTTCTAACGTTGGTGTTGCTGTCATTAGGGCCCAGAGTTAACATTTTAGTCTGAGAAAGTGGGGCAAAGTCTCACCTCCTGTAGGCTCTTGCCAGGCTTGTGCAGCTTGGACTGTTCTGACTCATGCTGGGTTCACCTCTGAAAGTAGCCTGCAGCTATAAGAACTGGACATTCTGGGTTCTGTTCCCACTTCAGATCCTGCTCTCTGAGGCCTTCAGCAGGTCATTTATCTCACCTTTTTTTTTGCCTTACCTTCCCCATCTGTCAAGGGGGCTCCTGACTGCCACCCTTTGCAAAGTGCTCTGAAATCTTGGGTGCAAAGCCTGTAGAACTACAGCCGAACTAAAAACTGTATCTGCAGCTTTATTGGCCAAGCCCAGTGAGGTCTTACGCCCAAATCAATACACTTCTCTGTTGGCCTGCTTTGCGATAGCTTTTGAATGCTACATCCAATAGATTCCAAAATTCCAGGGAGTGTTCTAGGCATCCATGGACAGCACCCTTTGATTTTGTGAAAATCAGTAAAACCGATTGGAGGAAAAGGGAGACACACAGTGCTGCTGGCCGGGGTTGTAAATGCCAGTAAGGAAGAGGAATTGTTCAGGATGGCCTTAAAAAGCACATATGGTGCATTCTTTTACATGCTAAGGTCTGCAGAGCCATTCCAGTGGATATGCCAGCCTGCTTCAGCTCGGGGCAGACCCAGCCTGAGAGTCACTGGCTGCAGCACCCCCTCCAGTTTTCTCTGCCTCCCCAGTGGCAATCCTGACCCCTCCCTGCTACTGAGCTCTGCTGAGGGAAACCCCAAACGAGCAGAGCAGGGCCTTGTCTGAAATAACTAAATACGTTCCTGAAGGAGGCTTGACTTCAGAGCATTCCCATTTTCCCATCCCCAGACAATTCTCTTGTTTTGCAGATGCATGGCAGTCTTTTCCCTTTGCTCTGACGTGTGCTCCCAGGGTCCCTCTCCAGGATCATGGCAGCAGTAAAACTGTCTTTAGGGAAGAAGGAAATTCACTTAATCTGTTCCTGGACAACTTTTCTGATCGGGTTCTGTACAGAGAGAAAGCTGAAGCAAACACATGAGTGGTATGGTTCCTGGAGTAGCTTGGCTTCAGGACAAACACAGACACATGGTGCCTGGAAAGTCGATCATAAGCTAGGGCTTGGGACCAATACTAGCTGGTATGAGGACTCCTCTCAGAAGAAGATGATGGCCATAAAGAAAACAAGTGGTGTGCCAGAGAAATTATCCAATTCTTATTGGAGCCTATGGAGAATTCTGATCTCCCAGACAGGCATGCTTCAGTGATCCTGACTTCCTCTGAGTCCTTTGTAGTAATTCTGGGTATCCCCTCTACATCTTGCCCTGTCACATCCATTGGCAGAGATCTAGCTCCGAGTGTATATTCTGTCCCCCACCCCCATAGCTGGAGAACGCAGAGAATCAGATTTTTTTTAAGAGATCTTCTTCATTCAGTTCAGGGAATGGGAACCAGAATGAGAGTACCACATCCACCAGCTGGACCAGAGTGATTCATTGAGGTCTCGGAGCTTCCATGGATAACAGACCTGTTCTGGTCATGACAGTCAGCGTGTGTGATTGTGTTTTTCCTAGTGTGTATGGAAACCCTATCAGCCCTTCCCCAGAGAGAAACTCTCCTGTCCTGGGCAGAGCAAAGTTGGTATCTCTATGTACGTTGCCCACCAAGGTGGAGATGAACACCAAGACTTTCGCAGCAGAAGTCGGATTAGCAGAGTAACTCCTACACCCAGAAATATCTCTAGTTGTAAACCAGTTTGGTGGGCTGGTGATCAACTGCCTTGCATCTGGAAACTGTAAATAAAGTGCCCTGTAGCCTCTCTGTATTGGAATGTAAGGTGGTGAATGACATCTTGCAAACCTGGGTGAGGTCCCTGCTTTGTTTTCCTACCTATGGCGCTGCTCCCCAGAGCAGTACAAAAGCTAGTGAGAAGATAGAAGTGGTGATATGTTTTATTCCTTTCTGGCTGAAGAGGCAATGGCGTTCAGACCTGATAACTGAGTGTAGGATTGTCACCTTGTCTTTAGCTCACAGATGAGGTCTGCTATTGCAAGACCAGCCCCCCATCCGTGACCAGTCAGGTTTAAAGGAATACAGGCTGAGGTGATCATTGTCCCCATGCACCCCGAAGGAGAGCTCAGCAAACAGAACGTATTCTACTGGCTGGGTGCAAAGTCCCTGGTTTAACTGCCATGCTAACCTGGTGAAATGTAACCTTGAGAACCTCCCTGAGGGCGTTACTGCAAATGTATCAGCGTGTCCAAGCAAAAGGTCAAGTCTCTGCAGTGTAATGTTCTCAGCATGTTCAAGCAAAGGACATTTTGTGCAGATCCCAATATTAAATGCTTTCTTAGGGCATCAGCTTTATTCCAACCTGCAAGGTCGTAGGGCACGACCTTTGGATCCTCATTCTGCTCCTGACAGCACTACCCAGACTGAACCCCTGTGGAGGTGTCGTCATACTTCCTGTCCAGTAGAGCAGGCCTCCTGGTGTTTGAAGTTGGGAGCTTTCTCTAACGAGACCCTGTATTGTTCTTTTAATGTACAGAAGTCATTTTGTTCCCTACGTAAATTCAAGAAATAGTCCTCCTTCGGGTAAGCATCCAAATCCCGTCCATAGGAGCGCAGACGGTCAGACAGCAGAGTAGTGATGTCTCCTGTATTGAGACTGGCTGGACAGCCACATGGCCATCAATATGTAAGTTCACCAACTTCTGCATCTTAGCCAGTGCGAGAAATCTTCTCCATGCCTTAGTGCCCCGGGGAAGATGGAGGAGATATAATTTACCTTGTTTTGGATGTCTGTTTAGGATGATCCTGCTTCCTGCTCTGGGAGCACGCTGCTCTGAAAATCCCAGTGTAGCAGATCTGGTGCCTGGAAAGTCCATTGTAGCCTTAGCATGAAGAAGTATAAGAACATGTATCCTTGCTTACCTGCGAAGTTCCTTTCTTCAAGTAATAAGGTCCACATATCCAGCCCACCCAGGAGACGAATCATCCAGGCTAGAGATGGAAATTGACGTTCAAGGATTTGGATTTGTTGTCATTGAAATTTCCCATGCTTTGAAATAGGAGAAATTGTGCTTTTCCCATGAAGTATATTTACCACCATCTGTAATTTAGGAAACTAGGTCTGAATGATCCTGGCTGTGAAAGTTCTTGGCTGCAGGGGACTTCACTAGGGAGGCATTCCCCTGCTGCCAGTGACTGTCAGGCCTGGTTCTTCAAGCAGATGGAAGTACCCATTGTAATGGATCTGGGGACCTTGTTGCTCGGTAAAAGGGAATTTTCAGGTAAGCGCAAATACATTTTTTTCTGTTTCTTCATCTTCCAAATTCTTTGCAAACATTAACTCTCTTAGCCTGCCCCAGGAATACCATCCCCTGCCTCTCACCGATGCACAGAGATAGCAGAACAAAGTCTGGGGGAGAGCCAGGACTGGAAATGGAGTTGCTGATCCTGGTTCTGTGGCCTCTTCCTAGGAGCAATAAGCTTCCTAATGGTCAGATCTGCTAGGCTGGGGAATAGTCTCTCCTAAGAAACATCCCATGAGATGGGCCAAAGCCTTAGAGATTTGCTCCAACTCTCTCCCTCCTTTACAGTATCTTCACCACTACGCTACTCCACATCTGCCGCGGGCCCCCTTCCCTTCAGTGTCCCTTCACTGCCACTACATAGTTCACTCTACTTGTGTGTTACATCCTTTCACCCTGCATTTGGTCTGTTTCGATTGTCAGCTCTTCAGGGCAGGGACCATCTACTCTATACAGGGCCTAGCACAGTGGTGCCCCGTTCTGGGCTGGCCCTTCGGCACTACAGCAATAAACAGGATTACTAATCATACTCAAAGTGGAAGCCATGCTGCATTGCTGGGGGCAGCTGGGGCTAATCTAGCAGGTGTAACTAGTATGACTGAAAAAAGAACTAGTCTTTCCTCCAGCAGCCTAGCAGTGATTTGGAGAGAGACCTAAAGACAGCAGTGACCAGCCAAAGAGCCTGCAGTAAGGGACAAACCAGCATTGCATTGGGGGCTTTTCCAGCAGCTCCCGTTGGACCCGGCAACTCTTCAGTCCATTCAGTCCACACTTCCTGTGTAAGGCAAAGAGGAAAATAAATATGTCAGGCCAAGAGCTCATCTGTCTAATCACAGGAGAGGGGGGGATGACCTTCTTCATCCTCACTCCTACCAGAGAGCCCTATGCATTTAATTAAAAAATTATCCCAGTGTGAATTAGTTACAGCTGAGATGACATGCTTTTATTACTGACTGACTGCTGGGGGTTTTAACCCTTCCCCTCTGGGGTTTCCATAGACTGTACAAATGATACCATGTCATGGCAACGCGCCCCGTCCCACCTCCAAACCTCACCGAAAGTTCTTACCAACCAATGCTAGGGGGTTTTGAACCAGTAATTTGTGTCCAGTCTAAGGAGAGCTGTTACCAAGAGAGCATGTCCTTTTACTGCTGTCTGCTTCCTGCTGTTTCCCTATCATGTTTCTCACTGTTAATAAATTGGGTTTATTAGGTTTTCATGCAGAAGAATTTCAAAGTGCTTTAGGAACTATATATAGCTCGCTCTGTCCCTGCTGAGATGCAGCCACCTCTGCAACACGCAGCAGCCATTTACCAGTGTGGATCACAGCACTCAGCGGGTCGGGAGAGGGGGGGAAGTAGCCTGCGTTTGATTGCAAGTGCCAGGGCTTGAGTGGCACTTCCCCCACAACGCCGCTGCCTTGGAGAGCCAAGGAAGAACTTTCAGAGGAACTCTGACCTCAGGCACTTGCATCACTGCTGAGTCCAGGGCAATTCTTTTGTAGGACACACATGCAAATTATTTAATGAGCTAATTAGCATAAAAGCGTAAACCTCAGCTTGAAAATGGTTGTGTGAATTTGATGCAAATCCTGCCTGCCCTCAGTGAGGAAGCGCTTTGGGTGACGTGTGGGGTCTGATGGCTTGAGCGGTGGTTCCTGACAGCAAAGCCAAGAGCACGTACCTGGCATATTCACTCTGAAAATCATGTGGCTCAGTGGGACAAGATCTGTCCTATTAAGAGACCTGGCTTCTGTTCCCAGATAGCAGTATAGGCACCCTGCAGAAATATTAACAGCAGTCCATGGAAGTGGCAAGCCTCAAACTCATGGTCTCCTGGTTTGCAACTCAGTGCACCTTCCTCTCAGTCTAAGGGTGTCAGCTGAGGTGTGACAAGGCTGCCAAATGTGCGGGTGCCTGGTGAGATGCGAGGTGCATCGCGGGTTTCTGCTCAGGACTTTCTTTGATGAGCGAGGCCTTGAACATCTAGAAAGCAGTTGGAGGGCCCCACCTATGGGCCCCTCTGCTAAGTTCACAAGCACCATCTCAGATTTGGTTGGCACTGCATGCCTGCTGCAGGGTTTGTGTGTCTGTCTTTGCAGCACCTGGTGCTGGCCACTCTGAGCAGTGGGGTTCTGGGCTAGACTGGCCATGGGTCCAATGAGTCTGGGTGCTCCTATTGTTTCTCATTTTAGGCAGCATTGGCCTGATTCCCACCACAGGTCATCAGCAGGGATAGATCCTGTAACCCTCTGCAACAAAAGCACAGGCCTCTAACACTAAAGCTAAAGCAGTAACCACATAAGCTAATAAGGGATTCAGAGATGGGAAGGCCGGAAAGGCCCATTAGATCATCTATAGGGCCCTACCAAATTCACAGTCCGTTTTGGTCAATTACACGGTCATAGGATTTTGAAAATTTTACAGTTCATGATTTCAGCTATTTAAATCTGAAATTTCATGGTGTTGTAATTGTAGGAGTCCTGACCCAAAAAGGAATTGTGCGGGGTGGGGTGTCACAAGGTTATTGTAGGGATGTTTGCGGTACAGCTACCCGTACTTCTGCGCTGCTGCTGGCGGGGTGCTGCCTTCAGAGCTGGGCAGCTGGAGAGCGGCGGCTGTTGGCCAGAAGCCCAGCTCTGAAGGCAGCGTCCCACCAGCAGTAGCGCAGAAGTAAGGGTGGCAATACGATACCAGGCCACCCTTACTTCTGCGCTGCTGCTGGTGGGATGCTGCCTTCAGAGCTGCTCTCCCGCCACCCAGCTCTGAAGGCAGTAAGGGGTGGCAATACCGCAACCCCTCTAAAATAACCTTGCCAACCCCCTGCAACTCCCTTTTAGGTCAGGACCCCCAGTTTGAGAAACGCTGGTCTCCCCTGTGAAATCTGTATAGTATCGGGTAAAAGCACACAAAAGACCAGATTTCGTGGGGAGAGACCAGATTTCAGAGTCTGTGGTGCATTTTTCATGGCCATGAATTTGGTAGGGCCCTAATCAACTGGTCTGACCTTCCTGATGGCCCAGGCCAAAGAACGTCACCTGTTCCCCCTGCGCTGGGGCGAGATGCGAGTGTTTGACAAAAGGCAGCCAGGCTGGATTTGGAGACACTGAGAGATGGGGAATCCCCCCCCCACACACACACACACACTTCCCTTGGCTGTCTGTGCCAATGGTTAATCACCTGCACTGTTAAATCTTTGTGCCTTGTTTCAGTTTGAATTTTTCTGGCTTCAGCTTTCAGCCATTGGCTCTCGTGCGGTCTTTCTCTGGTAGGGATAAGAGTCTATTTTTTTTGTGTGGATCAGCTCCCAGAGCAGGACATGCCACATGTACCCAAAGTCTTCCACTGTCTGTGGTAAGAGCAGGGAGCAATTGGAGTCAGGATTCCTGTGGTCATAGTAACAAGATGCCAGGGGCTTTGAAGGCGAGGTTCTGCTACCCAGGGAGTCTGTGTGCTCTGGGAGAAGTGGCTGGAGCAGGGGATGCTGGGTATTATTCCTGGCTCTGCCACTTAGTCTGTGACTTCCCCTCTGCTGGGAATGGGGAGAATCCCCAGAGCCTTCATGTCTCTAAGCAGCTTTGAGACTGGAGGAGAAGGGCTGCTCTGGTGGTTGGGGTGCTAGCATGGGACTGGGAGACCTAAACTCAATTCCCTGCTCCAACAGACTGCTTGTGTGACCTCGGGCCTCTGTGCCTCAGTTCCCCATTTGGACAGCGGAGATAATCCTTCCCTACCTCCCAGTAAAGATTGTGAGGTGCCCAGATGCTGTGGGGGCAGAGGGCGGGGTAAGTGCTAGGAGATCTCGGATGACAGGCGCTTGGAAAATGCCAGTGTTATTCCCACAGCACAAGCTCTTCTTATGTCTGGGTCTGTCTCCAGGAGCGCTCTGCCTGCTGCTGGATCCAGAGCTCGGTAACCGGGGGATTTAAAATGGTGCTGAAAGTGAAACAGCAGCAGGGGAGTGCCTGCTTCTTACAGGACACGTGCAGGTGTGGTATTGGCGCTCCCTTCGGAGATCTGCCAGGCAGTGCATTGGAGAGCTGGCCTCTGGGACAGATGTAGGGTGGATTTCAATCCCGTCCTCGCCCCCAAGCTCCCTTCACAGCTGTGGCCAAGGATCAGCATGAGCAGGAGGCTGTGATACCTTCTCTCTATGTAGCTGGGCCCTCCAGGGTGGGGTTGGCACAGGTTGATGTGGGGGCAGTGCTGGGCCAGGTTGCCCTGCTGGTGCTGATTTGGGCACTATTCTCTGCCTGTCCTGATCCTGAACGCATGTCACACTGTCTGCTCTGTGTTGGTTACAGGGCTCAAAGAGGATCCTGAGATCCAATGAGATTGTCCTGCCGGTCAGCGGACTTGTAGAGACAGAGCTTCAGCTGACCTTCTCGCTACAGGTGAGTGCGTGCAGCTGTGGGGCTCTGAACTAGAGAGGCCTTTTCCTTGACAGGTGAGAACTCCCGTGTGGCACCAGCTTAAGGTTATGTCTCTTCCAATATACCCAAGGGCAGGTCTACACTACAGCCGGGATCCACGCTCTGAGATCGATCCACCAGTGGTTGATTTAGCGGGTCTAGTAAAGACCCACCAAATTGACTGCAGATTGCTCTCCAGTCGACCCCTGTACTCTACATCGCCCCCCCACCTCCGACGAGAAGAGTAAGGTAGGTCGAAGGGAAAGTTTCTCCTGTCGACTCCCTGTGGTGTAGACCCCACGGTAACTCGACCTAAGGTACGTTGACTCCAACTACGTTATTCATGTAGCTGGAGTTGCATAGCATAGGTCAACTTACTGCGGTAGTGTAGACATAGCCATAGAGAGAAACTTTGCATTACAATTGGAGTCCCTCAGCAGCTCAGACAGCCTCTGCTCTTGGCTGGAGGGGCCTTCCAGAGTCCTTAATGCCCACAGGGCTACAAAGCTCTTGGAAGTGGCAAGCTGAACAGGCACAGTTGCACTTAATAACACCAGGTTTCCTTGAAAGCTCCAAGCAATGACAATACCATCATCTCCTGTTTGACATTCCCCCTGCCTGCCCTCTGCCTTAAATCCAGTCTAACAGTTGGGTGGGAGACCGAAATTATATTCCCAGTGTGACCTTGGGCAAGTCCTTTATCATCCCTCTACCTCAGTTTCCCCATCTGTAAAATGGGAGCATTCTTAGGAATGCAGGATTGGACTGGACTTCCTGGGTCGTTGAGCCCATTCCCGTGGTACTGTAAGCAACCCTGCCATGCCATTAATGATGGAGGATGCAGATACTCCAGTGCTGGGACCGTACAAGTACCTAGATTGAATGAGGCAGCAATCCCAAAATCAGTGGCTTACAGCTGCACTCTCCACGCAGCGTGCCATGTTTCGTCCCTGCTGCTTGACCCCTTTGACAACTCCCTCCACCCTTGTAAGATCTTGGCAGCAGAGAAGCGACTGTGTGATAGTTCAGGCCCCAAATGTCAGCCTTGTACCATGGGACTCTTGTGTTTTCCTGATATGCTTTGTATCTTTTTGAGATGTGACCCTTCCCCTTTCATGTGGGGAACCAACCAGCATCCCTAGAGTATATGAGCCAGTGTCACTGATCACAGAGTGAAACTGACCAGCCTACTATAACTTCCTAAGCAGAGTGATATGCACAAAGCGGACTAGCTTCCCCCACGTCCCCAGTTTTTTGCCCTCTTTAAAAACACCCAAATGTTGCTGATAATACAGCATAAGAGGATTTCCAAATGATTTGAATCCTGCAGGAAAATGCACAGTGGGCAGTAATAAGAATTGATTAATTAAACTGTTGTAACGACATCCTTTGGCAGTTTCCATCTCTTTTAGCAATTGAAAGTGTTTGCAGCCAGTCCTGGCCTGGGACAGGTCCTTGGAGCAGTTCTGAATGTCCCCTTCTTCCCTGCACTCAGCCAAAAGAGTGGCATAGAAAGAGCCTTGTTATTTCTCATGTGGGATACTGTATCCTCCCTTTGTTTTTTTAAATACAGGCTCAAAATGACAATGAAGCTTTTGCCACACCTCATTGGCCAGTGAATGCAAAGTACTGCCCTGGACTGCGTATCCTGGAGCTGTGTATTGTGCTCAGACATTGAGCATAACACATTTGTCTTCCTGGATTATTTCAAGGTGTTCATGACCTGTCTGATCCCTTCCTTAAAGCCTCTCTTGTGTAGCAGCTTTTGGAAGCTGCGGTACGCTCAGAATAGCCATCCAGAACACTGCCTCTTTCAACAGTTGGCTTCCAGACACTTCTTGAAATTAACTTGGTTTCTTTCAGGAAGAAGGTATAATCAGTGGGAGGCATGGGAAGGCAGGGAACTGTCAAGCAGGACTCCTGGGTTCTGTTCTTGGTTTTTGGAAGGGAATGTGAGCTAATGGGCAGAGCAGGGACTGAAATCCAGGAGTCGTGGGTTCTAGTCCCAGCTCTGCTATTCCCTCAGTTTGTCCTTGGCTCAAGGGTAAAATCACTGGCACTTCTAAAAATGCAGTTCTAAAGACCCATTTTCATAAGTGATTTAGGAGCCCAAATCGGACTCAGTGGGATGTAGGCTCCTTAATCACTTTAGTGCTTTTGAAAACGTCATCTTTCAGTGCTGCAATTTTGCCACGTGTAAGATGGGAATAATTTACCTGCCTCCCAAAGAGAGAGGAGGATTAAAGTTCATAGAGCACTTGGATTCCTGGAGGAAGACATGACAGGAGGGCAGAACGTTATTCCCCCTCCCTCTGTGCTTGGTCTCCCTGCGCAATGCTAGTTGCCATCTGCAAACCTAGCATGGGTTGTTTCCAGAGAAGACACTTCTGCTCACGTTGTTACTCATGCAGGTAGTGGCATGAGATTTTCCCATCCTCTTTCTCCTGCCAGTGGAGCTGCAGCCACCCTGCCCCCAGACAGAACAGCTCACCCTCTGTGCCTGACTGTCCGCTGTGCTGCATAAATCCCTGCTTCCCGGGACAAGCAGTTACGAGCTCTGAGAATTGTAAATGTGTGCCCCTTATGGTCTTGTTGAGCCTTGGCTGCTGCTCACCATGCAAGCTGGATCCCACCAGGGGGCTGATCACCAAACAGGTGTGGACGGGATCTTAGATCCCACTTCCATGGCTTTGTCATACTAGCTCTGAGCACCACCCCATGTAGCCTGGCCGCCTGCTTTTACTGATCAGACCAAGCACTGTGCCTAAGGTGGGAGCTGCTATTTGGTGCCTGGGAGGAAGATGCACGAGGCTTTGCTACCCAGTGCTGTCCATGGAAGAGGGATAGGATGGGGGGATGCCTCCCTGAGCACTAGAGCTCTCCTCTGAACCCCTGGAAACATGAGATGTGATCATCATCGTAGCTTGGCCAATAAGCCTTCTCCTGAGCCTCAGAGGCTCCGCATGACCTGACAGGTCTTCCTCCAGTGGAAGCCGTGGCATGTATTGACCACCCTCTGCACGTCCGCTATAAGCAGGGCACCATGCTTCCTCCTGGCTACCTGGCAGCCTGGGCGAGCAAGTGTCCGCTAGGCCGGTCTTCAGCAGTGTGCCCGCACTCACCATCAGCCCGTGATGCGTGTTGGGAGAGTCTCTCTCTAGCAGGGCTGGACATGGGGTTTTTAGCAGCCTTCCTGAGTACCCCCATGGGAGCCCCCAGACAGATCTCTGCCCCCCACACCCTTGCACTGGGCCACCTGGCACCCCAAACATACCGGGCTCTCATGCGGCCCCCTGTTGTTGCTGCTCCCTTGACTGTCACTTGCCCTTGCAGTACCCCCACTTCCTGAAGCGAGATGCCAACAAACTGCAGATCATGCTACAGAGAAGGAAGAGATACAAAAACCGGACCATCCTGGGCTACAAGACTCTGGCTGTTGGGCTCATCAACATGGCTGAGGTGAGGAGGAGGAGGGAGGCCCCAGGAACGGCCATGGGGAAGAAGTGATTACATGTAACCTCCCCCCCTCTTTAGCTCAGGCAGAGGCAGAGTGCTGTGTCCCTAGGCTGGGCTCAGAGGTGGGACCTAGCCAGAGACACCTAGACCAGCTGAGCTGTCTCAGTCTTGTGTCAGCTTGGCCCATGTGGGGCCACAGTCTCGGTGTGGGTGATGGGCTCGGTAGTCTCAGTAGCCTCCTGCGGGGCCCGCTGGGAGTACATGCCACGTGGTGTCTCCCCTGCCCAGGTCATGCAGCACCCCAGCGAAGGAGCTCTGGTGCTTGGACTCCACAGTAACGTGAAGGACGTCTCTGTGCCCGTTGCTGAGATTAAAATCTACTCTCTGTCCAGCCAGCCAATTGATCACGAAGGGCTTAAGTCGAAACTGTCCGGTAAGGAGGGGACTAGTTTGGGGTGGTGGGGCTTGGGCATGGAGTATCCAGAGGGGAAGTTCATTGGCTGCCGTGGAGCCAGCATCACTAGGCAGGTGCACAGCTCGGTAATACTCAGTTAGTACAGCGAGCTGCAGCTATTGCCAAGATGGGGCCCAGGTGTTTTCGATCCTCTCCATTGAGCATGTGCCCCCCTCCCTCCCTGCTGGGAGAGGGGTGGGTGGCAGGGGACACGGCGCTGGAGGTGGTGCCTCCTTCAGATGAAGCAGAGCCAGTGTCCTGACCTGGTCATTAAAGTTCCTGAGTGAGTCACTTGCTGTCTGCTAGAACTGGGGTATTGGAGCCAGTGTCCTGGCCAAACTCCACCAGGGGGAATTATGTTCTACCTCCCTAAATTCCCTCCCCGCTCTGCCTTTTCCCTGGGACCGAGAATTCTTTCCTTCCTGTCCTGAGCTGTTATAGAGGGTGGCTACACGTTCCTCCCCAGAGGGAGTTGCATTTCCACACTGTGGCAAAAACACTTTTCTCCAGAGGCTTGGCTTGACTAAAGTCTCAGAAGCAGAACAGATTTTTCTTGATCCCTGAAACCTACCAGCTGTAAAAGCCACATGCCTGCTGGTTCCATTCTGCATTGTACAGCTCTGCTAGTCTCTTGTATGCATGGTTGGAGGCAGTGCCTTAGAAAACACATGGAGCCTCTTCAGTTACATTCTATCCCTGCGCAGCTACATGTGTTCCTGGTGCTTCTGTGGCACAGCTCAGGTGCGAACAGCAGCTGGCTGGGCATCAGCCCCCTCTTGGTTACCTGTACAGCGATTCAGTCTCGGGTTTTAATGTGTTTAATCTGCAGAAGTGAAGGCAAAACCCTGCTCAGGGCCCAGTTCCACCACGTCCATTCGCATCAGATCTTGTTTGAACAATGGAGGCTAATTCCTTCCAACACGGCTATATTTAGCCCTGCGTCTTGGAATCCTTCCGTTTATGATACTGTCGTGGATGGCTGCCTAGGCAGTAAATCTGGTTGCCAGGGAAACTGATGGAGATGCAGGCTCTGTGTTGGATTTATTTTAATATTTGGGTTTATTCCCAGTAACTGCGTGACCTGACAAGGGAAAGCAGTGGGCACTGATGGGGGTGGGGGGGGCACCTGTTAATCTGGAAATCTGCACCCTTTCCTGTCTGGCATATTGAGGCAAATAGAAATCAGTCCAGGTCTCTCATAGACAGAGCCTAAGTTCCTCTGTGGTGGCAGAATTTAGTCTTTGCCACAGAATCGTACTCTTTTATCTAGCTTTCATTAAAAACAAATCTGTGCAGTTCTTATGGTTGCTGCACATGTGAAGGATGTAGTAGTGTCTGCCTTAGTCTGCAGGCAGCCTGAAACAAGCATCATCAAATGGAACCTCATTCATCTCAACAGGATGTTAACTCTGAAGCATACCGATGACAATGTACATGTCAATATGGTTAACAATTTAGCTGCTGAGCATATTAGTGGAGACATCCCCCCAGTGTGTATGTGGTGCGTGTGCCACACCCCTTGGCCCTATCTTCTAGGAAGTCTGTGTGTGTGTGTGTGTGTGTTAATGCTCGTAAAGTGCTGTGAGAGCCTCCAATGAAAGGCACTAAAGAGGGGCCAGGCTTGTTGCTGCAAAGGGAGAGGTGGTTCTACTCTGCTAGATTGCGTGAGGAAACAGGAATGTAAATATTGTGAGCCATGAAATCCTCTCTCTCAAACTCCAGCACCAGCTGCTCTTTGTCCTTGAGTGAGAATTTAAGCAATTATTTTATTTTAATAGTGTCCAAGGATGACTCCCCACCCCCAAAAGACACTAACCAGATACAAATAACTGTCTGTCAAATAATGGGAAATACCAGATGGTCCCAAAGGGAGTGCAGGGAGCTGTTTGCAGCTCAATAATCAGCACAGTTCCCAAGTTCATCAGTCAGTCCATGGCCAGCTCCTCTCAGATGTTGGGCTGGCTCCATATTCCACACTTCTCCACACCCTGCACAGAGCGACTGTTCTCTAGTCATTGGATGCAGGCAGGGCTGCAATCAGAAGTGCTATGGGCTGCTATGGGCCATGGGGATGCTGTCTTTGGACATGACTGAAGGAGAGGGGCAGAGGAGGATTGACTGGGCGTGTGCTAGTTTATTTGCTCCTTTAGGGCGTTTGAAAGGATTCTTTTGCTTTTACCTTAGATGTATCAGGGATGGCTGTTCCCTGGGGTTTTGAGACCCCAAAGAAGCTGCCTGGGAGCTTTCTCATCCCTTAAATGAAGTGGGGAGGGGTTGAATCTTCAACAGACTTTATTTTCTACCAGCTTTTCATCCAGTGGAAGGCTGGCCTGGTGGCTCGGCACTTGCCTAGGAGACCTGGGTTTGACTCCCTGGGCCACCTTGAGTAAGTCCCTTATGGTAACCGTGCCTAAGTCCCATTTCCAAACACGACTTAGGGAGCTTGAGTCTCATTGAAAGTCACTGGGATTTAGGTGCCGAAGTGCCCGAGTTACCGTGGAAGGAAGGCCTTACGTGCCGAAGTAAAGGATGGGGATACATGTCTCCAGGAGCTCAAGCTATTTAGCTTAATAAAGGGAAGGTTCAGGAGTGACTTGGTCCGTAAGCTCCCACGCGGGGAACAGAAATTGGCTAATGGGCCCTTCAGTCTGGCAGACAAAGGTCTAACAAGAGCCAGGGGCTGGAAGTTGAAACTAGATGAATTCAGACTAGAACTAAGGCATACATTTTTCATAGGGAGGGTAATTAAGTATTGAAACAACCTGCCACGGGCTGTGTTGGATTCTCCATCACTGGTAATTCTTAAACCAAGGTTGTCTGTTTTCCTAACAGCTCTGCTCTAGTTCAACCAGGTGTTGGTGCAGAGAAGCCCTGAGGCCTTGGCTATGCAGGAGCTCAGACTAGATGACCACAATGGTCCCTTCTGCCCTTACAGTCTATGAATCTAAGCCACTCAAATGTGACCCTTCCCTCGGTGCCTTGGTTTCCCCATCCCCCCAGTTGGGTCACTAATCCGGTTTTTCTTCAGCCTCTTGCCTGTTTAGACTGTAAGTCCTTCGGGTCCTAGCTCCCCTGGTGTCTGTGCCACCCCCCAGCAGAGCAGGGCATCCAGGCACTACTGTGGCACAACCCAGCTTTCGAAAGAGTCGGCATAAAAGGCCTTCTCAAGCAGACCTGCCTCGGTGAGTCCCATGGTGCCGGAGCCCTCTTAGCTCTCCGGTCACCCACAGAACCTTCCAGGGTAGCCGAGGTCTGAATTTCTAATGGAAAGCCAAGCCACTAAAGCCTCTCTTGTCTATATTGTGCATGACCAAAAAAGGACACACGCTTCTCTTTCGGATCACCCTTAAAACTGAGTCCTGACCACTCTGTGGCTACATATGGCCGCGTGGTATTTTCCACTAGAGAAGGCGTGTGCTTGTCTGATGGTGGAGAGGCCCAGTGCTGGCTGCCTGCTATCCCATCTGTAACATAGGCCAGGCTATACAGAGACTAGGGCTCTGGCTGGACTGCACTGCCCTGGAGGACTAGTCTGCACTGCTGAGCACGCTCTGACCTGCTAGGCTGTGATGTGTGGTGTCCTGGACCCTATTCTGCTGACAGCGCTAAGCTCTCAAGCTGGACTTCCAGCCTAACCCCAGCTGTGTCTTCCAGATCGGTCCCCTGACATCGACAACTACTCGGAAGAGGAGGAGGAGAGCTTCTCCTCGGAGCAGGAGGGCAGCGATGATCCCCTACACGGACAGGTAACCCCGCACCTCCCCCTTCCCAGTCTGCTGCCCCCTCAGAGTGCTCAGGGCAGAGCTCCATTGTAAGGCATTACAAAGCAATAGGCTGGCTGGGCCTGGCTGCCTCCATTTGCAAACCCCTCTTTCCATGGGTTCAGGCTTTCCTCCAGTCCTGATCTCTCCGCAGCAGGGGGGGTTTTCACCTGGTTTCTGCCTTTAACCCTCCCCAGCCCCGTTTACTTCAGTGGCTGAATCAAGGCAGAGACGAGTGCCCCCAGCGAGCTCTGAAAAAGATGCTAAGTAGCTCCCCCTTCCAGCCTGCACCTCTGGGGGCAAAGGGAGCAAGAGGTGGTACTGTGCAAGCCAGGCTGGGAGCTGGCTCTGGGAGCCACCCCCCTTTGGGAAGGGAGGGGAGAGGCAGACAAGCTGCAGAGCAGCCTCCCTTTGGGATCTAGCTGAGGACTGTGGACTCCAGGCCACTGATCCCTTGGCTGGCTGCCCCAAGTGGTCACCTATGACTGGGCTGCTGCTAGAGGCAGCCTATGTGGAACTGTACCTGCCTGGAGCTGAGCTGCTGTGGCCCGAGGACCAGGGAGATCCTGGTTAAGAGAGCTAGCTATGGCAGTGTGGCCAGGCTTCCATAGCCCCAGGGCCTGGGGGTATTATTTCTCTGAATGTGCTGTCTCCCCTACCCCACAAGGACTTATTTTACGAAGATGAGGATCTCCGGAAGGTGAAGAAAACGAGGCGGAAACTGGCCTCGGCCTCGGCAATCACTCGGGTGAGTGTGTTCTGCGGGTGCGCTGGCTGGCTGGTCGCCTTCTGGCTCCAGTCTGGTGCGAGGCCTGGTGCATGCCGGCCGGGCCAAGAGGGTCTCTGAACTGGTCATAAGCAGCCTCCGGGGGGACTGGATGGCTCTGGGACTTGGGATGGGGCAGAAGGAGCCATTCGCCTCTCTAAGTGACCACTATTCAGCACATTCAGACACGCTGCTGGGGGAGCTATGCAGCGGCAATCTCCAGAGCTGTCAGGCTGTCCCCTTTCCACCGCACTGTCGCTTGTCCAGGCGTGGCTGTTTGACCTAAGCCGTGGCTGGTAAGCTCTGCCCTGTCTCCTAGGAACTGGCCTGCAGTAATGCTGCCTCTCACCATGCCCTGCTCAGAAGGCAGTTACCAGAGCTGCTTGCATGCCTCTCCTTTAACACCTAGCTGTGATAACCGCCTCTGAGCTGCATGCAGCTGCTATGCCTGCTTTCAGCCTTGCCATCTCGCACAGTGAGCTTGGCTGGTTTGCAAGCTAAGCAGGCTTGCTCTGGGCTAGACCTCCGGAGGATGAGCCAGAGGTGCAGCGTGGAAACGTGTGGGTGACTCAGGAGGAGTAGTGCTCCCCTCTGGGTTGGTGCTAACCCCAGTGCACCAGCATGGTGCTAGGGAGTGCTGTGCTTCACTCTGCATGTTCCCTATGTCCAGCCCTGCATCAGGTTTGGAAACTGGTGGACTTTGAACTGTCACTTAGGGCAGCATTTCTCAACCGCGGCCACTGTGGCACCCAGTGAGTTCTCCACTTTCCCAGAGGCGGTGGGGCTCAGGCTTTGGGCTTCGGCCCTGGGGTGGCAAGGTGGCAGGCTGCAGGCTCTGGCGGTGGGGCTTCAGGTTCTAGCCCGCTGCTGCCTCCCCTGGCCCCCCATCCAGGGTTTAATTTGTCCCCAGGCTTGCCAGGGCAGAGTAAGTCTGCTGTGGAATGTGATACTTGTATGTTTGCTAATATCACTTTTCACAACGGTCTTACTAGCTAGCAATAAATAAATGACCATGATTTGGATGTGTATATGTGCATATTTGTTTGTTTTTCCTAAAATTAATCAAGTATTTTAGGAAAAAATGTGAAAGTGGCCACCAGCAAAAGTTGGTGGCCGCACTCAGAGGCCACCAAAAAATTTGTCCTGAGAACCCCTGATTAGGGTAACTGGGATTATCTGTGGGGCGATGTGATATTCTCCTTCCATTGGCCCCTCAGTCGCGCCTACAGCAAAGGCCTGCACCCCCTCATTGGGGCCCCTGATTCCTGTTCCCTTTCTTGGTGTCACTGTAACGAGTCAATGGCACCGTTTCTTCACAGCAGCCAAATATAAAGCAGAAGTTTGTGGCTTTACTGAAGAGGTTCAAGGTGTCGGATGAGGTAGGTGCAGCCCTTCCCTGTCTTGTTGCAAATGCCTTCGCTATTTCCGTGGTCTCTTGTTGGTAGATGGGCTGTGATCCAGATCAGGTGAAATGCATCCCTCATCACTGTTCTTCCCTCCTCCAGATGAATGGCAGTGTGAGCTCCAAACTCAAGTCCTTCAATGGTTTGTCTCGTTTTTGTTGTTGGAAGGAAGGGGAGTAGGGTCTAGTGGCTAGAGCAGAGAGGGGCTGGGAGCCAGGACTTCCGGGTTCTGTCCTAGTTCCTCCACTGAGTCATTCATGGCAAATCCCATCACTTCTGTGCCAGGTTCTCAATCCCCTGCTCTAATCATGAAGCCATCTCTCCCTCCCACACTCCCCTTCCAGCAGTCTGACCTCTGTTACCAGTTACCCCCAGCTCCAACCTCTGGACCCCATTTGTCTCAGAGCTGCGGATAGAACCCGGGGGTCCTGAATTCCAGCCCTCCTATTCTGACTACAAGATCCCTCTTCCCCTCAACCTTCTAACAACCAAAGGATCAGGAGGTGAATGAGACTAAGTAGGGGCCCCTCCTGCTTCATGGGCTAAAGCAGCCGTGTGCTGCTGGGTGTTAGACATGCCTGTGAGAGCAGTGTAGTCCATCATCTGCCTCGGAGGTTTCTTGGAACTCTTCCTGAACCTTCGGTGATAGCCGTTCTCTGACATGGGATCTGGGACTGGCCGGGCCATTGCTCTGTGGGTGACTCTCGATGTTCTCTGGGAGATGTCAACCGACAGCTGATTGGTGGGGTGTTAGACCCTTGACATGCCATTGGCTGGGGAAGGAGAGCCACGAGCAGGAGGAGGTCCTTCAGGCTTCTTCTAGCACTCACTCCCGTGGGCTTCCACAAAATATGCAGTCTCTACTCCGGGTTGCCTGGCCCTGGTCTAGTCTGGAGTCTCCTGCCCGCAGGTTGGCTTTGGCCTGGAGCACGTCTCCAGGGAGCAGATCCGAGAGGTGGAGGAGGACCTGGACGAGTTGTATGACAGCCTGGAGATGTACAACCCCAGCGACAGTGGCCCGGAGATGGAGGAGACGGAGAGCATCCTCAGCACGCCCAAGCCCAAGCTCAAGTGAGTGCTGGCAGTGGGGGCAGCACGGTGAGCGACAGCTGCAACAGGGAGTGAACCTGGGCTGGTGGGACCAATGGGACACGGCAGCTGCTCCCAGCTCTGCCACTGCCTTGCTGAGTGAACTTGGGCAAGTCGCTTCCCTTCTCGGTGCCTCAGTTTCCCCTCCCACCTTCTCCTGGTCTCATCTGTTTAGACTGAGAGCTCCTCAGGGCCATGGCTAGTATCTTGCCACACATTTTGTGCAGCATCTGACATAGCAGGGTCCTGATCTTGGCTGGGGCCTCCAAGCACTCTTGTAATACTACTGATAGTGTGGGCTGGGGGACTAGGAGTCAGGGCTCTGGGAGTCTCTTCCCATATGACATTGATGCAGCAAGTATCTACAGTGCTCCGTGACTGTCTGTGAAACACTGTTGTTATTTACACTGTGGTAGCTCCCAGAGGGCCCAGGTTCATTGTGCTGGGTGCTGTATGAACCTGTAACACAGATGCGCTCCCTGCCCTACAGAGTTCACAATCCAGCCATGAGACTAGACAGCAAGGAGAAGGGAGCACAGGGTGCCCCTGAGATGGTTGAAAATGATTGTAATTCTCCATGAGTGACAGTGTAAGTCTCCACAGTGCTTTAGGAAACAGCTGCATTGAAGTGCAGCTAATTCTGGGGTGGAGCGCAGCCGCCGCTGTGTCAGTGACATAAGGGTGCATGTTGGCTAAGGACACTAGAGGGGAAAAGGGCCCTGCATCTCAACTGCACATTCAGAGCCCCCCATCCAACAAGCCTCATGGAAACTACCCAAATGGGCTGAGACTCAGGATCTCCGTTAGTACATCCATCCAGTCTGGAATCAGAGCGCTGATGCTCTAGGGCTCTTCCCCTGCAGCTGAGATTGGTGTCACATGCCTTCCCCTGGGAACTGAGGATTAATTAGGATTTGTGCAGCCCTTGGAGATGCCTGGATGAAAGGAGTGATCTGTTCAGCTAGGTTGTTTCTCGCCCTGCTTTGCTCATGCATGCCAGCCACTGCTGCTGCAGACCCTTCTCCTGAGGGTGTCCCCCCCCCCCCTCAACACCCCACCCAGTCCCCCCCCTCAACATCACAGTCTATAACACCTCTACCGCACCTGCCCTCACAAGCCCTTGGGCACTCTGAGAGGCTGCCTGAACAGGATTCCTGCCATCTGCCTAGAGCTATGGCTTCAGTCACGGTGCTTCACGGACCCCAGTAAGGAGCTCATTCCTTTGCTCTCACCATTAGACACACCTCCCCTCCCAAACCTGGGAACAGAGCCCAGGATTTCTGGCTCCCAGCACCTCTGCTCTAACCCCTACACTCCCCTCCCCTCCAAGAGCTGGGGATAGAGCCCAGGAATCCCCATTGCCAGCTCTGGTCTGGTCTAACCCACTGGACCCCAATCACTTCCCGTAAGTTGGAAGAGAACCCAGGAGTCCTGGCTCCCAGCCCTGTGCCTTACCCACATGGCGGTCTGTGGGGAGTGCAGTTCTATCGCAGGGGGCTTGGGGGCCCTTCTCCAGCATTGCCAAATGGGCTGGGAGTTGCTGTTGCTGAGAGGTTGATCAGGGGCTGTGGAAAACCGGCTCCTTAGATCACGGCCATATTCGGTGTGAGTCACAGCCAAGGCCAACATCGCACGTGCTTAATCAGACACCAATAGCAATCTGAGGCCCCCCCCTCCCCTTCCCAAAGCAAGTGTGGGCTGCCAGTCCAGCCCTACCAATAACACACCATCTCCTCCTCCCGCACCTGAGCTGTGCTCTGTTCTCCCCCACAGAGCACAGCCAGTGATCTCGCCCCCCCAGGCTCTGGTGCTTGCTGTCCCCGCGCTGCCCAGCTCTCAGCATCGCTGTAGCTGCTCATGTCCCTCGCTGCTCTGATCCAGCCCTGGCATAGCACCACAGCCCCGGCGAAGGGCTGCGCGGCTCTCCTAAACGCCAGCCTGGCTCTGATTGGCCCGAACTGCATCCCTGACGCCAGGCCGCTCCCTAGGGCTACCGCGAGCCAGAGCTTGAGATGGACTTGCTGGGCTCAAGGCCTGGTGGGTTGGGGTTCAAACACCGGATCAGGAGCACTGAGCTGTAGCTGACTGTGCAGAAGCTTTCAGCCACACACAGGCTACAACAGGGGACGAGGTGCTGGATCTCCTGGTTCTGTCCTGCCCCAGTCTTGCCACCCAAGGGCCTTGGCATCTGCGCCCTTCCCCTCTCTGTAGCTCGGCTCCCCCATCTCCTGGGGAAGGCATGCGAGATGGATGGCTTGTGTACGTTTCTCCCGGAGACTGGTGTGACTGAAGCTGTGAATGGAAGCCAGGATACCAGGCCACCTGGATGTAAGAGAAGGCCTTGTTGCGATTTAGCTGTAACCCATTCCCAGACGTTGCACTGGGTTGTGGGAAATCGCTGCAGCTTTTGCGTTTGGACTCGTATTGGTTTCACACTGGTGCAATGGGGTTAGCGCTCCCAGTAAATGGACCAATGCGAGTCGAACGGAGAGAAGCCAGGCCTAGCCCAAACCAGCCTTGCAGGCTTGTGTGCTGACTGAACTCCTGCAGGGTGTTATGGTACTGCAGCTCTGTGGGTGGCCCAGGACTCAGGCTAACCTGACATAGGCCCCTCTGGTACCAGAGCAAGGCTGATCGGCGCACACACTCGCGTGGTGTCAGGGAGATCAGTGCAAATCCCCACACGGACACACTCTGATCTCGGTTTGAATTAACCCTGTTCCCAGTCGACTTGAGCTGCAGCGTTCACAGGGCCTTTGGCACCAGACTAGTTCGGTCTGTAAGTGACACCGTCTCAGCTTTCTCACGCAGACGAGGCCTGCTGTGTGTCTGCCCAGCCCCCAACCTTCCCTGCTTGGAGCTAGGAGGGGCCCAGCAGCACTGCAGCGTTTCCAGGGAGAGAGGCCCCTGGAGAGAGCCCCTTGTGGGTAAGGTGAGCCTGTCGCTCCAAACCAGGCTGGGCGTTAGATGCTCCGTAGCGGAGATGGTGCCGGGGAACCTGGAAGGGACGGGAAGCCCTGCGCTAGCGTTCATTGCTTGCCAGTGCGGAGTGCCTCTTGCAGAGCCATGCAAACCGTGGGAGGAAATGGGTCTTTAAATATCAGCCAAAGTCTCCGCCGTGCAGGCCGGCCCATAGGCACTGAAATACGCCCGGGATTCGCGCAGGCCGTCCCTGGGGCTTGAATCCCTCTAACCCTCTCCTCGCCCTGGGCCAGGGTCTGCAGAAGCACTTTGTTCCCTGATCCGCTGCATCTCTCCCTGCTAGGCCTTTCTTCGAAGGGATGTCTCAGTCCAGCTCCCAGACAGAAATTGGAAGCCTTAACAGCAAGGGGAGCCTGGGCAAAGATGCCACCAGCCCGGTGAGTCATCGCACAGGGAGGGAGTGGGTCTCGTGTTCCAGCTGGGGGTGCCAGACGTAGTGGGCCCATGTGGGGGCCCATGTGGGTCTGGCTGCGTGGTGATTCGCAGCTGGTATATGTCACGCTGAGGCTCGGACCTCGACTTCCAACGCATGTGAATGCAGTCGCAGGATCTCTGCTGGAGCCAGGTGGCTGCGGGAGTGCTGTGCACGGACAGGTGCCATCTCCTCCCTGAGCACTGCTGAACGGCCGCGTGCCGCTTGGCCTGGGGACTGGCTGAGGCAGAGCAGCGCGGCCTGTCAGTGCAATGGGCAGCTGCCTGTGCCTCGTAGTCACTAAAATCTTAGCCAGCACCTATCCTGGCCAGTTTGAACTGCCCCCCAATCCTCCCTCAGTCCAGGCAGCTTTGGTGCACAGAAGGGCAGTGGGGCCTCCCCTTTGGCACCACGGTGCTCCCCAGCTCCTAGGCAGAGTTTGCTTCCTGAGAGCCTGGCACATACAAACTGGGTTTTCTAACACCAGTGTTTGTAAAAGGCCAAGCTGCTTCTTATCAGCATTGATTATCTGTATTCGGCAACATACAATACCCCCACTCCTGGCCGAGCCCCCGGTGTGCTAGGTGCTGTACGAACACTGAGAGCTGCCAGTCCAGTGTCAGCCAGAAGCCGGCTGGTGGACACAGGCAGATGGGCAGTGAAGCCCAAGGAGGCCATGAAGCGTTCCTGCTCAGCACAGTGGCAATGCTGCCAGGGGATGCCCGGAGTGTGCCTGGCCCTTCATACCTTGCCCAAAGAGCTTCACTGTCTCGACGGAGCACTCAGCCAAGGGGGGCAGGACTCCAGGGGATGAGCTGGGAAGCACTGTTGGGATCCTGGCTGGGCCAGTGACTCTGAGCAGCGGCCCTTGGGGTGGCTGAGGAGGAGTGAGCACAGTAGGGCAGTGTCTGCCCCAGACCTGTAAACCCCCCATCCTTCTGCCCTTGGCTGGTTTTTCAGATGGACGCAGCCGTCGGGGACAAGTTGAAACCTTCGCGGAATAAAAACCTGGACGACAGCCTCAACGAAATAGACACCCTGGTAATATGCCCCAGCCACGCTGGCTTGCTCTCCCCTCGGTGCTCTGCCTGGCTTAGGAGCTGGAGCAAGGGGGACATGGCATGTACAGGCCCCTCCCTTTTGGGGGAGCTCACATGCCCAAGGTAACACCCTGTGCTGGTGCCCGTTTGCCCCAGGAGGCAGCATGGCCTAGTGGGTAGAGTGCCAGGAAGCTGAGCTCAGGATGGGGGCATACAGCCCCTCTGATAATGGAGCCCAATTTGTCTCAAGTTGGCACCTCCAGTCAGTGGCTGCTTGGTACGACACAGTCGGTGGCTTTTGGCTGCGAACTGTCCCCTGCTAGGGCCCCAGCTGCTGATGGCCAGAAGGAGCTCTGGAACCTCCTCGTTCCCTTTCCATGTCCGTAGGAAGCGAGCGAGCAGGACACGTTCGGAGACTCCAGCACCACGTTAGTCATCCCCGAAAAAGTCAAGACGCCCATGAAGAGCAGCAAGGGGGAGCTTCAGAGCATAGCATCACCCAGGTAAGCTGCCTGCTTTGAAACCAGGGATGGGAGACGTGGATTGCATAGAACAGCAGGTGACTGCCTCTAGGGGCACTGGCTCCAGGCCAGCCCAGGGCAGGGCTTGGCTGGCTCAGAGGGCAGAGAATAGGTCATTTCCCTTTCCCCTTTAGGGAGCTGGCTCCTAGCCAGGCTGATAGCTACCAGCCATTGCTCCCCTTCCATGGCCTGTCTTGATGTAGCTCTTAATAGACAGGTTCCACCTCCTTGTCCGTTCCCAGGCGGGCCCTTTCCCCAGCGCTCTGCAGGGTTGGGGTCAGATTCTGCTCGACACCCAGGGAGGAGGCTCCTTGACCTCACAGCCAGTGGAACTCGATTTCTCTTATTGAATTCTCCCTGAGCACAGGCTCTCTGCGGGCGTTACTTGAACTGTCACTCCAGCCCCAAAATCCCAGGGGCACGCATCCCTCGCTTGTCATAGGTCACTGATGTCTCACACTAGCAGGCTGGGGGATGAGATCACCAGGATCAGTGGGGTTTGCCCCTCGGAGGCAATCCCTGCTTTGTGCTCTCCAATGAGTTGGCCCTGAACTGGAGCGGTTCAAAGCAAACTGCTGGTTACAGCCCTGCCGAGATTCCCTGCCAGAACAACCTGGTGTGTTGCACCTGAACAGCCTGAGACCCTCCCAGAGAGAAAGGGGATGTTGCAGGAGTCAGGAGGCCTGGGTGGCATCTCTGGCTCTGCCCTTAGAATGTGTGGTTTTCACTAAGTCGCCTCAGTTTCCCCATATCAGGTGTTGGGCGCTCAGAGGACTGTGTGGCATTCTGCATCCAGTACCCAGCATTAGGCATCTTCCCCTGGCTAGGGGTTTCTGGTCCGGTCTGCTATTGCCCATTCCATCCCAGGCCAGGGAGGGTGGCGATGCCTTATGGCTCTGAGCCTCCAGCACTGGATGGTCTGTGGGCAATCTCGATGTGGCTGTATTTGAACCTTTGACTGTGTGGTGTCGGGCCCCCATCCCGTCCCCGATATTCCCTGTGGGTACCGGGCCTCCCCCGCTGTGAAGGCAGTGGGGCCGTGCCGGAGCTGCACTGAGTGAAGGATTGGATCCACATACCTGGTGTGTTCAAATGTCCGTACGTTCCCAATGGAAACCTGCCAATCCGGAGGGTGCTGTGTACTCTGGGGGTGCCACCTGTGCAGGGCAGGAGGACAGGCCTCGAGAGGTGTTTGCTTGGAGACACTATGGACAAAAGTGCAGCTTCAGCGTGCGACGCAGGCCCACCGTGCTGGCTCCTCTCCCAGATGCTATGGGGGCGGGGACGACACCATCAATACCCCTCCCCCCCCATTTGTCTTAGTGCTGAAGCAGTGCCTTCTTGGAGCGAAGCACCAGGCTGCTTTGTCCTGGAGTTAATGCCTTTGCTTAATTGCTGCCAGGTGGCAGCAGAGGCGGCTGTGTCCTCGGGCTCCTAGGAGCGCTGCCGCTTCCTTCAGGCCAGGCTCCAGATCAGATCTGCTCGGCTTACAAGCGAAAAGCTCTTGTTTCCCGCCTGCCAGCACTGCAAGCCCCCGGCTTCCCGCCTCCAGCAGGGGAGAGTCTGAACTTCGGGGGGGGGGGCACGAGCTGGTTAACAATCCACCTCTCCTCCCCCAGAGCTGAGCTGGCTCTCGGGCACTAACAGAGCTCTAGTTCAGCTGGCTGGGCTGGCCCCTGGTGGGGAGCTCAGACGGTATGATCAAACCGGCCCTTCCTGCCTTTACGCGTCTGAATCTAGGAGCAAGGACTAAAACCATATTCTAGTCAGTGGCGGAAGAGCTGGGCCTCCAGTACCCAAGCTGGGCTGTGCAGTAAGGTGGGACCATCTGAGCCAAGGTCACGTTTCAGGGGAGCGGCACACTCTAATGGGCCGAGGCCATCGGAAGGGGAACTGACAAATATCCCTTAGCAGTGCGGTGGCAGGGTCTAGTGGTTAGAGCAGGGGACTGGGAGCCAGGACTCCTGGGTTCTAGCCCCAGCTCCATGGTTGGGAGTGTAGGCTGGAGAGGGTGCCAACCTCATCCCACAGGGGCCTGGGCTGGAGAGCATGCCCTTCTTGCCCGACTGAGGGAGGAGGGTGTGGGCAGGAGTGTGGAGCTTTGTGCTCTGAACTGACCATGTTCTGGATCCCGCGGCCCCCCATGGTGCTTTGTTAGCTCGTATGTCCAAGGCCTGCACAGTATGGTCTTCGCCCTCCAGGAGAGATGCCAAACCTGCCAGCCATTGGCGGGCTCTGCATTCCTGTGGGGATCGAGCCCCAACACCTAGCACAGCCCCCTCTGCTGCTCTGAGATTGCTGCAGGAATCTGGATCATGGGAGAGAGCCCTCTGAACTGGCTAGGAGCCCGCCCTGGATCCGCAGCTAGAGGAGGAGACCCAGCCCGCCCCTGGGGTTCCCTCTCGGCCTGTGCTGGCTACAGACTGTACATGGGCTCTCCCTGTGTCTGACCAGCCCACCCAGTCCTGTTTGTACCCAGCAGCGTTGCTGAGCTCCCGCTCTTGGCAATGTGCCAGGAAACCCAAGTCACATGGCCATGCCACTCTGTCCCCTTGCCAGCGGGCAAGTGTTGTCCTGGTGCAAACGCTCAGAGGAGCCCCAGGGCGTGGCTTAGACCTGAGCGGGGCCTGTGTGTGTATCTGCAATCAGAGACCCTGGTGCATGGGGGAAGGACCCTGCTCTCCCATGGATGCTGTGCCATGCCGGGGAACCAGGCCAACAGCACTGTCCTTTGTATGCTGCAGCAGAATGGAAGGTGCAGCGCACACGCCCCGGCAGAAGAGAAGCACTCCGCTGAAGGAGAGACAGCTCTCCAAACCCCTGAGCGAACGGACCAACAGCTCGGACAGCGAGAGGTCCCCGGACCTGGGCCATAGCACACAGGTGATGTGAATGCAACCCCAGGCACTGTTCTATGGGGGGTGAGCCCAGCCTGCACCACCTACAGCTGGGAGCTCATCACATAGTCGGTTGCCTGGGAGTCCTGTACGGAGAGCCAGGGGCTGCAATGAGTGACATCAGTGGCATCGGGGGGGCAGTGCTGCGGGGAGCGGAGGCGGGTGCTCAGTATGGGGCACTCTCCCTTGGGTCAGTCCTGGCTCCGGTGCCCCAGCGCGGCACTAAGGGAGACTTTGTGCAGTAGCTTTCCATCTTCCTGACGATCTGTACAGTTGTGTCCTGCCCGCTGGCACTCAGCACATATCCCAGGCACTGTGTATAACAGAGCTAGATCCCGTGTCCTGGCCACATTCTAGTTCAGCTAATGGATTTACCTCTCTGAACTCCCCTTGTAGGAGTTGCCTTCCCTCCTCTTCCTACCAACGCGGGCTGTGGGGGGCAGCAGGGGCCTTGAGGCAGGTGGCTGGATACACAGAGCTGAAGGAAAGGCAGGGGACCGGGCTCCGGGTAACAGCACCAAAGGAGAAGCAGCTCACCAGGGGAACCTCCAGGGTTCTGGCCCAGCCCAGTGTGTGTTGCCTGTGCCCTGCCAAGGCTTAGCCCTCCCCTCACCCTCCCTCCCCAACAGATTCCTCGCAAGATCATCTATGACCAGCTGAACCAGATCCTGGTGTCAGACACGGCCCTGCCCGAGAACATCATCCTGGTGAATGCGGCCGACTGGCAAGGCCAGGTAAGGAGGCCGGCCCTGGGACGGGACCCTGCAGGTGCTGCTGGGCAGGGTGGCAGTGACCCATGGAGACGAGGCCCCTCTGTTTCCCTGTCTTCCGCTGACATGCCTCAGCCCTGAGCGAGGGGATGGGGCCTGTCCCCCGCCCTGCCAGTCTCTGGGCTCTGCTGCCGTCACCGTGCCTGCCTTTTCCAATGCAAACTGAGCCACAGCTCGGGTCACCCGGGCCCTCGGAGCCCTGCTGCCCTGGGAGTGGAAATGGCTGCTCCGCAGAGGGGCCGTTGGCCGTGTCGCCTGGACCCAGCCTCTGCGGGGAGCCATTGCAGGCAGCGGGGCCTGTTGGGTGGTGCTCCGGTCTGTGCGAGCAATGGGAGTACAGGGCATTGCCTGGGCTGAGCTGAGGAGGGGGCTGAATGGGAAGGGCCAGGGGGCGAGGCCGGGTTGGCTGCCCACAGACATTTCCCTGCAGGTGAGCGTTAATGCTGCTGCTGTGACTGCATGGCCGAGTTTGAATCCCATCTGAGCATCCCCCTTGACCTGGCGTGGAGTCTCCCCAAGCTGTGGCTATAGGAAGCTCTGGGGCGGATGCTGATCTTTCCCAGTCCGGACCAGGGCAAGCATGTGATCTGACGGCTCTGGGTCTCTGCGTGTCCCTCGCTAGCCCTCCTCACTGCAATGCCAAACACCTCTCGAGGCCTGTCCTCCTGCCCTGCACAGGTGGCACCCCCAGAGTACACAGCACCCTCCGGATTGCAGCTGACAGGCCCACTCTTGTTTGCACGCTCAGCGGAGAGACCAGGGCTGTGTAGCCTTGACTTCTCTCCCCCCGCCCCCAAGCAGGTCCCTCACTGGAGCCTGTTGCGTGGGCATTGTAGGCAACATGCCTCTGCGAGCCATGAAGGGGAGTCTTGACTTGCCTTGATCTCACACCTGAGATTGCCAAGCCCCAAGCAAACCAGCCTCTGCTGCCCCACAGCTGCCACTTCCCACTCACTAGGCAGCCACAGCGCTCCCGGCCCTTGGCAGTCTGGAATGAACACGTGCCCCATGGCCATTGCCGCCTGCCAGCCCTCGGCAGCAACAGCCAACCGGCGCAGGGAGGGGCCCGCTTGCCCACCTGTCCCCAGGGACTCTGGTTGCTAAGCACAGAGGGGGAGTATTCGTGGCAGGTGTTGTAACAGATCACTTTGCTCCCATACACCCGGGCGCACTGGGCTCACCTTTCCTCCTCTCCTTGCCAGTATGTGGCCGAGCTGCTTCGGGACCAGAAGAAGCCAGTCGTGTGCCCCTGCTCCACCGTGGAAGTACAGGCCGTCCTGTCTGCCGTCCTCACCAGGATCCAGAGATAGTGAGTGAAGGGCGGCGGCCCTCTGGCCCCTGCGCCGGGGGCAGGTGGTTTCTGTCGATGTGGGTATGGTGCAGTTGCTCTATTCGCTAACCCTGCCGTGAGTTGTGAGGCAGCTCTCACAAGCTAAGCAGGCTGGGGCCAGATCAGTGCTTGGAAGGGGAGGCCTCTAGGCAAGACCAAGGAGCGGCATGAGCGTTGTGGGAGGCTCATTAGAGGGCACTCTCCTCTTGGAGTTGACACCAAACCAATGCCCCAGTGTGGGGCTAGGCGCTGCAGGAAGGGGGGCAGGAGCTCAATTGGGGGTGCTCTTCCCTCACTGTCAATGCAGGCCCCAACACCCCAGCGTGGCACTAGGAGGAGCTGTGCTGCAGGGAGCTGGGTGGGGGACTGAGCAGGGGGTGCTCTCCTCCAGGCGAGTCCGGGTGCCAGTGACTGAGCGGTAGTTGGCAGTGTGGTAAAGTAGGAGGAAGGGCTGTTGATCCAATAGGGGATCGTTCGTTCGGATCCAGGATTGAACCACGGCCCCAGGGTGATGCTAGTCCTGTGCCACTTGAGATGCTGTTTTCAGATGGGAAATAAAACCAAGATCCTGGCCACTTGTGTTCATTCAAGGGCTTCCTGACCATATAATGTTCCTGTCCGTTAGCCCCCAAGGTCCTGCCCAGAGTCCAGCATGGTAATTATATTCCACCCGTTTAAAACATCCCTGGCTGCTTCACTTTATGTGCTCTAAGCTGTCAAACGGCTGCTGTGTTCCACACCAGAGCTGGTTGCGTCTCACCCCTCAGCAAGAGGTCCCTCTACAAATCGCCCCTTGCCCCACCCCAGAGGCATTTCATTGCTGGGCAAGCATTCCCTGTATAACTCCCTCCCCCATCTCTCTCCAGAGCTGGCTGCATTTCACTGCTAGATGAACTATCTCAATGTAATAGCTGCTGTGTTCCACCCCAGAGAAGTCTGCATTCCAGTAGTGGATGATTCATGTATAGCACAGCAGGGGCCTGCAGGGTGAAGGCTGCCACAGATGTGTAAGATACTTCATTCATAGTGCAGGGACATGAGGGCTGGAGTCTTTCCATGGTTCTCTTGCCTATGACTCTGAATATTGTGGTATCTGAGGGACAAACCCCAGCCTGCTTCATGCACAAGTGGAGCCGCCTAGGCCTTGCCTACAGTCTGCAATCCCCACTGCGCCCCAGCCGGCTCTGCTCCTAACCCAGGTCGTGCATTGCCAGCAGATCCGCCACTGGGCTGCTTCCCTGCAGCTAGAGGTGCTCTGCAGACGCTGCCAGCAGTGCAGGTATGCGGGCCTTTCCCTGACCTCTGAGGCTGTGACTCAGCAACAGCTGGCTGGGGATGCAGCCAGGCTATTTTTACCCACTCTTTCTGCCCATCTCCACACTTTAAAATGCTGTCTGTTCCCTGAGGTTGTTTTCAGGTGAGCCGATTGTAATGCAGACGGCTAACTGTTCCATAGAGCCATCTCTCCTTCCGCCTGCATGGCAGAGAGACAGGAGCTTGGGGCTTATTTAAGATGTAGAAAGGTATGAAAGATTCCCCTAAAAAAACCAAGCCGAAATGTGCTTGTTAGAAAGTCAGGTCCCATCAGCCTTGTCTCTCTCCAGGAGACTCTGTGGGCACCTGGAGAGCTAGGAAAAGAATTACGAGTCCAGGTACCAAGAAAGGGGCAGGCTGAGTCAGACAGGCAGGACGTAGTAACACCTGCAACTTGGGGTTTGTCTACACTTACCGGGGGATTGACGCATGGGCGGTCAATTTATCGGGTCTTGACCGCTGATCGCTCTCCCGTCAATTCCTGAACTCCACCTGAATAAGAATCACAAGGGGAGTCGACAGGAGAGCGTCTCCCATCAACATCGCATAGTGTGGACCCCGCGGTAAAGTAGATCTAAGTACTTCAACGCGTAACTTAGATCAGTCTCCCCCCATAGTGTAGACAAGGCCTTAGATGCTCTACAGCAGGGGTTCTCAAACTGGGGGTCGGGACCCCTCAGGGGGTCACGAGGTTATTACAGAGGGGGTCACGAACTGTCAGCCTCCACCCCAAATCCCACTTTGCCTCCTGCATTTATAATGGTGTTAAAGATATTTAAAAGTATTTTTAATTTATAAGGGGGGTTGCACTCAGAAGCTTGCTATGTCACCAGTACAAAAGTTTGAGAACCACTGCTCTACAGACAGCTGGGAGAAATGTTCTTTCCTAATAGTTCCACCTCCTCCCTTCACCAAAGGGGAGTGAGCTCCCAATCTCCCGGCACACCCACGGAGACCTCCAGGAACGCTCCGACTTCACTTTCTTCTGAAGTAGATAAATGAAAGTTTGTTTCTCCCACCTGCCTTTGTGCATCAGATCCTGCAGGGATAGGTGCCGAAAGCAAACCTGGCTGGTTAGATCAGAAAAATGCAAGAAAGGCTGAAAGCCCATCGCTTGCCTCTGCAGATCACCCACATCTGTCAGCCTGCAGCCCTCCCCCACGGGGGGTCTGTCTGAAGGGGAAACCTGGGCCCACGCTCCTTTCCCGGGGAGAGGACAACCTGTGTGAGTGTGAACATCCCTGCCCTCTGCATTTGGACATAGGATTAGAAGTGGCCCTCTGGGCCATCAAGACCTGATCCTGCTATTGCAGGCTGTCACAGAATCCACTGCAGCCCCAGTGGTTACAGCTTCCAGCAAAATCACTCTTACCTGTGGTCCAGGCCTTGAATCTGGTGGCCCCCATGAAGGGGGATTTGAGTACTGATGGCTTGGAGGCTGGCTGGCAACGCCTGCAGCGACTTGCGCTCCTGGAGGAAGAGGTATAGCATTGTTGTGCTTGACAGAGGAGGGGAGAGGCAGAGGCCTAAGCCAAGGGGAGAGGAGACGCTGTCAGCTCGGGCAGGTGAGATGGGGAGCAACTGCAGAGGAGAAGGCTCTTGCATCAGCAGTTGCATGTTGGTGAAAAAGGAAGCAGTGCTAGTGAAATACAGGGAGCGGACTAGAGCAAGGGGGGGTCTAGGATGGCGTAGCCGGGAGGGCCCATGACACTGCACTGTAGCACTGATCTTTTCTGTTGCCTGGGGGACAGGCTGTCCCAAAGCCATGTGGTAGCTCCTTGCTTTGGCCCTATTAGCTGCCTAAAGGAAGTTGGTGGTTCTCTGGTGCCCTCTAGTGGTGGCCGTTGTGTGGCACGTTTAACTGCAGCTGCCCTAGATCAGCTGCTGGAGACGCAGCGCTGGGCTGGGCTGTAGGGCGCCAGGCCCATGGACATGCTGGGCGTTAGCAATGCTGGAGGGGTCCTTGGTCCTGAGCACATGCGCTGGGCCTGGCAGGGGGGCCAACCCATCGGGAGCTGCTCTGAGAGCCACCTCCACAGCTCAGTGGGGCACCATGGGTCCCAGGGCTGAGAGCGGCTGGAGCGGCATCAGGCCCCCCAGGATGCTCCATGTGGCAGAGAGCAGCAATGCCAGGCTCTGCTGGCTCCTCCCTCAGAGGAGACCTTCCTCAGTGCAGGCGGCAGCTGCTCTGTCTAGCTGGTGGGTTGCTGACGTCACTGCTCCATGGTCTGCTGCCCTGCTCAGGGCAAAGCTTTTCATCTGCGAGTCCCGCTGGAGCACTCTGCTGGGATTTACGGCCTGCTTCCTGGCATGGTAATTACAGCTGGGCACAGCAGTGCCGGAGATAGCAGTCGCTCATCAACTCGGTGCCTGGAAGGAACAGCAGCCCTCATTGCCTGTACTGCCTACCACAGTGAATGGGGAGGGGCATCCATTGTCTTCCTCGCTGGCCAAGGGACTCCTGTATAAATGGCCCCTGGGTCCCACCCCAGAGCTGGCTGCATCTCACCACAGGATGAGGGATCCCTGTATAAAGAGCCCCCGTGCCCCAACCTAGAGTTGGTCATGTCTCAGTGCCAGGCGAGGGCTCGCTGCCTAGCGTGATTTAGCGTCGTACCCTGCAGGCAGAAGGGCGCAATAAGTGCACACATTCCCATTGTCCTTTCTTTTCCAGCTGCAACTGCAACTCCTCTGTGCCGCGGCCCGTGAAGGTGGTGGCTGTGGGGGGGCAGAGTTACCTCAGTGCCATCCTCCGTTTCTTTGTGAAGCAGCTGGCGAACAAGACCCCAGACTGGCTTAGCTACATGCGGTTCCTCATCGTCCCGCTGGGTAGGCGCCTCTGCCCAGACCCCGCCCAGCTGGCGCGAGTCCTGCTTGACCCCCCTGCAGCCAGAGTGCGGCTGTCGGTGCAGGCCTTGTTCTAGCCTCTCCCTGTTCGTGTGGCGATGCCATGGGTGGGGGGTCCGACGCTGACACCCAGGGGTGCACAGAGGGGCGGCTGAGCAAAGCACGCCTGGGTCTGTAGCGGGTGCCCCCAGGGGCCGAGCCAAGAGCTAGCCCTGCTGGTGGCTTGAGCTCCAGCAGGCCGCCTCATGGTGGGGATACCAACACAGCAGCTGCGAAAGGGGTCCCAGGCAGCCCAGCCTCTGCATTGCCATGGAGCTGGGTAAAGGCCCAGGATGGGGTGGGAGCCTGGGGTGTGGCATCCACGGGACAGCTAGACCATCGCTCCTGTCACAGGGCCCTGCGGAAGGCTGCTTTCAGAGGAGCAGGGTAACAGGAAGCACCCGGCTGAAGGACCCCTCCCGCAGGCACTGTAGTACACAGCTAAGAACCTCCCCCCCCCGAAGGCACTACAGCAACACCCCCCCTTTCTCTCCTCCACAGGCTCCCATCCCGTAGCCAAGTACCTGGGCTCGGTGGACAGCAGGTACAGCTGCACGTTCCTGGACTCTACCTGGAGGGAGCTGTTCGGCAGGGCCGAGCCCCCCGGGACAGGTGAGGGGCCATGCAGCTCCGAGCACTGTGTCCATGGCCCTCATGCCGTTGGACAGGGAGGGCTGTGGGTCGCTGTTCCCCAGGGGCTAGCGAGGGAGCAGCCAGAGCTAGGCACGGTCTGTGGGATGTGGCGGGCCTGGCTGTTGGGATGTGGCCTGGGCTCCCCTATGGCAGTGGCTGTTCAGTCTGCACAGAGCAGGCCTGGCCAGTTCCTTCCTGAGCCCTGGTTTATTCCCTGGGGCCTGCCCCCAGCACCAGGGGTTACTGAAGGGGTCACAGCTCCAGCCTGGTGAGCAGTGCGGGAGGCAGTCTCCAGTGGGGCCAGGGGGAGCTCTGTGTGAGAATGTGTCCTGCCCCCTTTCTACTGCAGCGTAAGCTCTGGCCCTCCAGCCTTGCAGCCAAGCCAGAGGCCTGGCCACCTGCTTTCTGCCTCAGCCGTCCCTGCCTGGGGCAGAATCCTCTCTGACCCACACACCCCATTCCCCTCTGTGACGAGAGCACCCTCTCCTCTGCTGCCACTCAGTCAGCGGGGGGCATCCTGGCTCTGCTGTGCAGCTCACCCCTGCTGCGGGCTCGGGGACAAGGAGTCAGGGAGCGGGCTCTGTGGGGATTGCTGGTCACATCCCTCTCTCCCCTCTGCCCCCAGAGCCGTTCGATGTGGTGGGCCGCATCGTGCAGTATGTGGGTGGAGCCAGCGTGACCCACCAGCTGCCTGTGGCCGAGGCCATGCTGACTTGCAAGCATAAGTTGTAAGTGTCGCCCGGGCGACTCTCCTGCGACAGGGGGCTGGTCGCACGTTACAGGCACCCAAAAGACCCTTTCAGTTGGGATAGCAAAGCTGTTAAAGATCACTGAGAAGGGGGCTGGGATTGGGACTCCTGGGTTCTGGTCCCTGTTCTGGGAGTGGGAATGGGAGTGAGGACTGGTGGTTAGAGCAGGCAGCTAGGAGCCAGGATTCCTAGGTTCTGGTCCTGGCTCGGCCACTACTCAGTGTGTGGCCTCTCTGTGCCTTGCCTTTTTTCCACCTCTCTCAAAGCTGCCCCGAATCTGGGTGTGTTTCTGGAGCACCAGTTCCCTTTGTATCCCAGCCCCTCTGGCATGGGGATGGGAACTTACCTTCCTCAGCAGGCGGGAGATGTGCTGTGGTCACTGTCATTAACGTGGTGGGGCAGGGGTGGAGGCGGTCGTTGAGCCTGGCGAGCTTTGGATGCCCCTCGTGTATCCAGGGTGAGGCATTCCATGCCTGCTGGGCCCCGGCCCACCGCCCACCAGACCCTAAGAGCTGTCTCTTCCTCTCCCCACAGCCCGGATGAAGACTCCTACCAGAAGTTCATTCCCTTCATTGGGGTAAGGCTGCCCCCTGGGGCCCCTCCAGTGAGGGCCCAGGAATACCGCTGTGCCGCTGGGGTGGGGCAAGACCCATTGTGACCCTCTAGTTTGAGCCCTGCCTCACCCAGGGTAGGGCTCCCTGCTTCCAGCCCATCAGTGTTGGGGCTAAAGCAGGCTGGAATTAACCCCCCAGGGTTTGGAGAATCCCTGCCCTGGCCCTGGGTCAGTTCTTCCAGGGGTTAATCCCCCTCCCTAGTAAGTAGGTAACTCTCGATGCTTCTCCTGCTGTCATGGGATCCACACAGACAAAACCTCTCCAGAGCCAGGCTCTCCGGGGTGTGCCAGCCACATTGCGCCCGACACCCAGAGGGCGTGGATCACGCTGCTCAGCCCCAGACTCACTGCAGCAGCTGAGAGGGGCATGAGCTCTGCTGGCCACCAGTGGGCGCCATCCCCCCGCTGAGCAGGGAATGCAGTGCCTTCCGCACAAGAGCCCCTTCTCCCCATAGAGCACTGGGACTGCTGCTCCGAGCTCGCTGGGCCCTGAGCCAGGCTGGCCGAAACTGAGGGCCTCAGCCCAGGCTGCCCAGAGGAGAGACGTGCCAGGGCTGGGCCTCTTCCAGGGGCATGGGCCTGCGAGGGTTAAACCTTGGGACTAATCAACAGTGATCAGAGCCTCTCTGCTGTGTCCTTCCCCATAGAGGTCTGCTTAGAGGACTGGAGTTAGTGTTTCCAGCCCTTCACTGCCACCTAGCGGAGAGAGAACTGGCCTGGGAGTGAGGAATCCTGGGTTCCATTCCCAGCTCTGCCACCCAGCCTGCTGGGTGCCTTGGGCAAGTCACTTCCCCGCTCTGTGCCTCAGTTTCCCCATCTGTAAAATGGGATAATGCTTCTGCTATAGCCTGTCTGGCTCTGCATAGAGTCTCCTGGGGCATCAGCTGGGTGACACTCTCTGATAGAAGGAACAAAGTGGGAGGGCAGCCCCCATTGCCTGGAGGAATTCACTGTTGTCTGGATACTTTCCGAGCACTTGCCCTTCCATTGTAAACACCCCACTGCAATGTCTCAGGGGGTGAGGCTGCCATTGCTTTGGGCACTGGGATGTCGGCTGGGAGAGGGCATCCCCCACTCGCTATCACCTCAGGGGTGGCTGGTGCTTGGGATGGGGGCAGCCCTGATGCAATGATCCTGGGGGGTCCTGCCCACCTAGATTTCTGCATGGAGCTCGTGGAGCGCAAGTGGGGATGTGAGTCCTTTCCCCATGGTGTGGGAAGGGTTAACGGCAATCTTGGCACTGCAGCTCTGGGTCTCCCGGAGGAGCAGGCTCAAATGTCTTCTCCTGGACGGGCTGGCAGCCCGGCCTGAATTACTGATCTCTGTCTCCCCGTTGCAGGTGGTTAAAGTGGGCCTCATCGAAGATTCCCCTGCAGCCACAGGTACGTTCCCTGTGAGGCCGGGCCCCGGCTGGGTCCAGGCCAGCTGGGACTCGCAGCCTCAGAGCTGGTGCCACGTCGGGAGTCCAGGGGCACAGTTCCCGCCTCCCTGAGCTGCTCTTAGGCTCTGTGCAGAGCTGGACAGGCCCAGGGCTCCCTCTGCAATCAGCTGGGCCAGGAACCATGGTTGGTTAAAGGCAGGGTGAGGTCCCCTCGGGCTGAGACACCCTCCCCTCCCACCCATCCCCCCTCCATCCTCCCTCTTCTCACCCTCCGCCCACAGCCCAACCTCAGCCCAACGGGCCTGCTTCCAGCTGGGCTTTTACTGCCCCCTGCTGCCGCTGGAGTGGGGAGTTGTCCAAGCAACGGGGTCTGCCCCTGGGATTCCCCTCCCCTCCAGCTCCAGACTGCTGCTCGGCTTGTTCACCTCTCACTCCGGCTGGACAGGGCGTGACGGTCGGATCCCCGCAGGGAGGCTGGGGGCTGAATCCGTATGGGCTGGGGAGCAGGGGGATGACGCAGTGCAAGAGTTCAAGCGTTGAAGGGGAGTCACTAGGGCTGTGGAACCTGCCCATGGAGGCGACAGCGCCTCGTGGCTCAGGACGCCCATTGGCCTGGTACCCCCAGAGTGCCCCCATCCCCAAGTCCTCCGCTGAAAAGGGCCTGGGAGCTCTCACGCCACAGGAGTGACTGGGAGGCTGGTGGCAGTAGTGAGCTCATCTCCCGCCAGCCCAGCAGAATGGGTAGGGGCCCAGCTGAGACACCTACAACAGGGCCTGGGCCTGCTCCAAGTGGGTCACGGCCGGAGACGAGAACCCAGGGAAGAGGAATGCACCAGCACCGGGGACTTGGTGCCTGCCACAGAGCCACTATGGGGAGGCTGGGGAGCGCCTGGGGAGGCCAGGATGCCCCCAGGGGGACAGGGAGCCCCTGTGGGAGGCCGAGGTGCCCTGTGTGGAACCAGGAGGTCTGGGGCTTCCCATGGAGAAATTAGTCTGAGTGGCACAGCCCAGAACCTGCCTCACCCCGGCCGCCCCCTCTGCTCTCTCGGCAGGAGATGGAGACGATATGCCCGTGGTCAGCCTGACAGTTCCCTCCACGTCACCCCCCTCTTCCTCTGGCCTGGTGAAGGACGTCTGCGCCACCCCCCCATCCTCACCGTCCATGAGCAGTGGGCTCGCTGTCGTGGGGTGAGGCAGCCTTGGCCACCGGCCCCATGGTCGTTAATGAGGAACCTCATGCCCCGGCGGGCAGATTGGTACCATCCGTGTGTGTACAGGGCCTAGCACACTGGGGCGGGGCTGTGACTGGGCGTCCCGCAGGGCAGATCATAGCTGCCATGTTCCAGCTGGGGAGAATGAGGCCTGGGTAGGGGAAGGGACAAGCTGAGCCACACAGGGAGTCAGCAGCAGCTGGGGGAACCCTGGCGTCTGGGTGCCTGGTTGTGTGCGAGGCCATCCCGGTAGACTGGTTCTCTGTCTGTGCCTGTTCCTGCCTTCCTGCCCGTGGGGGCATGTGCTCAGTAATAGCCTCTGCCATCGTGGGGACGGGGCTGTCCAGCTCTTGGAGCCACTGGTGCTGGCAGACCCCTTCCCTCTGAGTGCCCTTGAGTGGCTGGTGCCCCCGTACCTCCACCCATGCAGGGTGGGGCAGTCATCTTGAGTCCTGCATCAGGGGCTCACTCTGAGCTAGTGCTTAAAGCAAGGACATGGGAAGTCAGGACTCCTGGGTTCTGTCCCTGGATCTGGGAGGGGCGTGCAGTCTAGTGGGTTAGAGGAGGGGGACCTAGGCTCTGTACCTAATTCTGGGTCGAGTCACACTACCTCTGTGCTTCCTGTGCCCTCGGCAAAGCAGGCTGGTGTTCACTTGACTCCCGAAGGTATCTGAGTTAGTTACTGTTTGCAGGGGGCACTGGGATCCTCCAGGAGCCATCAGCCCAGGATTCTGGCATCGAATTTCAGATCTGTTTGCTCTGCTGGGCCCCCAGTATCCTGGCACTGGGAGCCAGAACTCCTGGGTTCTCTTCCAGCTCTGCCACTGACTTGTTATAGGCCTTTGGGCAGGGCCCTCCCATGTCTCAGTTTCCCCATCTCTGTGATGTGGCTGGTACTGTCCTGCCCCTGGGGGGTGAACCCCTGCTCTGCCCAGCTGCTGCTGATGCTTCCCCACTGTCCCCAGGTCCCCCAGCAGCCCCTATGGAGACGTCATTGGCCTGCAGGTGGACTACTGGCTCGCCCATCCCACAGAGCGCCGGAAGGAGGGCGAGAAGCGAGACGCCAGCTCCAAGAACACCCTCAAGAGTGTCTTCCGCTCGGTGCAGGTGTCGCGGCTGCCCAGCGGCGGGGAGAGCCAGCCCTCGGGGACCATGGCCATGACGGTCGTCACCAAAGAGAAGAACAAGAAAGGTGGGTGTGCGGGGGTTGGACGGGCATCAGGCTGGTAGCACTGGCCCACTCTGAGGGGGTGGGGAATGGGGAGCTGGGGCCTTTTCCCTCTAGGGGTGCTGCCTCCAATCTGGCCCCATGGAACCGTGTCCATGTGTCGTCTCCGGAATTGGCACTAACTGTCCAGAATGGGCATTCCTTGGACATGCTAGGGGCAGCAGACTGGCTAGGCCCTGGGTGTGGACCCCCATCTTGCCCCAGAGAAATCCTGCTAGCTAAGGGGGAAGCCCATTCTGTACCTCCTCCGGGCTAGGGGCTCTGCCAGCCCCTCTTCTCCCCACAAAAAATGCCAACGGGCTGCAAGAGGCAAGGCTGTGCCCTCAGGATGCTGCCCTCTGCAGGCTGCCCGGGGCTAAGCCTGCAAGGTGCTGCTCTTTGCAACCCAGCTCCGCCTTCCCTCTGCAGGAGGCAGCTAGGCATTGGTAAATGCGCCCTTCCCTCCCCACCATTGGCAGCTGTGCTATTGCCACGTCTTTCCCAGCCCCCTTGTTCACCCTGTGCGCTGGAGGAGCTGACTGAGCGGGGGTGTCACTGGGAGACTGTCTGAACAGGCCCCTGCTCCTTCACACTGGGCGCAGGATTCTGCCTTTGTCACTGTGGCCGATGGTGAGAAATGGAACATGCACGCCGTCTAGTCCCTGGCAGGAGCGTGGGCTGAGGCGGTTCGCAGGAGACTCACTCACAGCTACCAGTACTTCTGTGGGTGGGGAGGAGCTTTCGGACAGTGCGTTCATAGACACTAAGGCCAGAAGCGTCCTTTAGATCATCTGGTCTGACCTGGATGGCCCAGGCCAGAGAACGTCACCCCACTCCCAGGGGTGACCTCCTGCACTGAGCCTCGGCGCGTGGGTTTGTCGAAAGCATCTGCCCAAAAGGTAGCCAGGCTGGATTTGGAGACACCGAGCCATGGGGAATCCCCCCTGATGGTTAATCCCCCACACTGGGAATGTTGGTGCCTCATTTCCAGCGTGAATGGGTCTGGCTTTAGCTCCCACCCCTTGGTTCTCATTCCACCTTCTCTGCTACATTCAAGAGCCCAATAGTGCCTGGGGTTTTCTTCCTGGGAATGTCCTTACAGTCCCTCCAAATATGGGGCTAGAGGAATTCTGAAAACACGATAGGTAGGCTGAGTGACCCGCGGAAAAGTATTGGAGAGGACTGGAGCTCAGCAGCCGCTAGCTACTTCTGGCAGGCAGATTTGGACTGCAGGGCACACCTGCTGAGTTCAGCTGGTGATGCCTGTGTGTGGGTGCTGGAAGGGGAGCTGATGGCAGAAGAGCAGGAGGCAGGAAGCAGCTCTTGGCCGGATGATGCGTCTTCTGGGTGGGTCCGAGGAGCTGTTGGTCTGCAGGGACCAGCAGAGGATGGTACCAAACCAGCTGTCGTGGCTTCAGGCTGCCAGGAATGGAGAGGCCCCGTAGGAAGGAGGTGGTACTCAGACCCAGGACTGAGTTGCCTCTTGACCATGTTGATAAGCTAAAGCTCTTTAATGGCACAGACGCAGGCCAAGGGCTGGGAGTGAGGCCCGACACATTCAGCCTGGAACTGAGGGGCCAGTGTTTAACAGGGAGGGGGATTCACCGTTGGAAAAACTGCCCCGGGGTGGTGGTGGGGAGGTTCTCCAGCCGACTCCCAGTCCAGGCAGCACGTCTCTCTGTAAAAGCTCCGCTCCAGCCCAGTGCTGAGGTGGGCTCCCTGGGCCGGGCGAGACAGGGGTCAGGCTGGAGGCTCACAATGTCCTTCCGGCCTCAGGCTCGCTGAAAGTGCAGCTCTGGTAGTTTTCCCACTGCGCAGATGGGCGGGCGCTTGCCGCCTGTCAGTCAAGAGGGAAGGCGTTCGCCCCAGGCTGGCTGGGCAGGCCATGGCCTGGGGGCCCTGCCTGAGTGATGGGGCGGCTTGGTCTGGGGGCTCAGTCCACGCTCTCCGGCCCTTGCCTGCTCGAGTACAATTTAATCCATCTTTGCCATGCATCAGTGTTGGCAGAAAGGCTCCCTTCCCCAACCTGGGGCTGGGGAAGGGCCAGATGAACCCCAGGGCTCCCCGCTGTGGGGGCAGCTCCAGAAGTTCAGGATTTACAATCCAGACCAGAGACTGTTCTCGCCCCAGGCAAAACCTGTCTGTCCTTGATCTCGGGCTCAACCAGGAACATAGGGCACCCCGCCTGAGAAATGGGCCTCAGCTCTGTGGAGCTGGAGATAGGGGCAGGGCTTTGGCCTGCAGGGCTGTGTTGGGCCCCCAGCCCGCTGAATTAACCACTACAGGGCCTTGAAATGCCCCTCCCATCTTGGCCAGAGGGCTTTGTTGCGATGAAGAGCGGGAGCCTGGGAGCCAGGACTCCTGGGTTCTTTCCCCATTTCATCGCTGACTCACAGTGGGGCCATGGCTGTGGGGTGGTGGTGTGCAGCTGTGTGTCTCTATGGGGCCCTGAGCTCAGTGCTGTTCTGGCTCCCAGGGCAAGTTCTGCTCCCCCCACAGCCCTCCTGGCAGCTCTGGGCTGGGACAGCGTCTCCCTGGCCAGACCTAGCCCAGGAAAGTGGCCTATCCCTTGCTGCTGCTGGTGCTGCTGTAGTGCGGGGCCGTGCCCCAAGTCTGGAGCTCGGCAGGAAGGAGTCAGGTGAGGCCCCTTCGGCCAACTCCAGCTTCCAGCCCCCTCTCTAGAGCTGTCCCCTGGTCACAGGGTGTCCAGCCCCCCCTGCTACCAGCTGTTATCCTCTGAGCTGGGAGCCAGAGTCGAGCCAGGTTTGAGTCACTGCCCTAAGAAACAAATTGGGGTGCAGTAGATGGGGCCCCGGACTCCTGGGTCTGGCTCTGCTGCTCGCGGCGTGACCTTGGGCGCATCACTACCCCCCGTGCCTCAACCCCCGTGAAACACACGCAATGGGGCACAGACTCTAGAAGTGCTTTGAGAGCTATATATGACCCACTAGCCCCCGTGTGGGCTCCCAACTAACCCCTCAGAGACTCTGGGAGGCTGAGCACAGGGCCTCAAGGTACTTCTAACAGCCAGTGCTCGAATTGCACCCAGCAGGGAGCGTTCTCCCTCTGCCATTCCCAGCCCATGGGGCAGAGTGGCTGCCAGTTCCTCCATCCTTCCACGGCAGGACTGGGGGCGAGGCTGGGTCCATGTGTGACCACCAGCCTTGGGGATGCCACATCTTGCCTCTCACCCAGCTGCCCTCCCCTCAGCACCGCCGTCTAAAGGCTTCTGCTGAGCGCACGCTAATCCCGGCTCCCCTGCCTCTCGTTCCAGTCCCCACCATCTTTCTGAGTAAGAAACCCAAAGAAAAGGAAGTGGATTCCAAGAGCCAGGTGATTGAGGGCATCAGCCGGCTAATCTGCTCTGCCAAGCAGCAGCAAACCATGCTGAAAGGTAAGGCCTGCCTCTGCAGTGCAGCTACCTCTGCGGCAAAGCAGCTGGTTATACAGGGGTCCCTCATCTCTCACCTCTGGGTGGGGGCGCAGGGATATTTATAGAGGGATGTTGAGATGCAACCAGTTCTGAGGCGAGGCAGCTGTTGATCCAGAGGTCTCTTGTCCAGCGTTGAAATGCAGCCACTTCTGGGGTGGGGCAGCTTTTTTAACAACCACCCTGCAGCACCAATGTTGGGGAGGCAGGTGGGAATTATCCAGTCTGTTTGTTCAGTTCCAGGGTTGGGGCAGTGTTACTTGCCATCCTGTGGGGGAAGCATAGGTAGGTTAGGGGCATAGGACCCTCAGAGCTGTAGCTCAGCAGGGGCTAGATGCCCCAGGCCTCACTCTGCACCACAAGCCAGCTGCCTAGGCCCTGCTCTAACCTCCCTCGTTCCTTTGCAGTGTCCATCGACGGGGTGGAGTGGAGCGACATCAAGTTTTTCCAGCTGGCCGCGCAGTGGCCCACGCACGTCAAACACTTCCCCGTCGGACTCTTTGGCTCGAAGCCGGCGTGACAGCGCCCGCCCTGCTGCCGGGCCGCACCCACCAGCCTGGCCGAACCCTCAACCAGTGGGAAGCCTCTTTGGCTACATCCCACCCTCCTTGCGTAACTGTGTTGGTATGTTCTGCACTGGGAGGGCTGGAGGAGGGAGCACCCCAGTGCCAACCTGTCATCCCCCCATCACCAGCTTTGTCTCCAGCTGCCACCGACCGCTTCCTTATGCGTGCGCGCGCGTGTGTGTGTGTGTGTGTGTGGGTGGAGTGTGCACCGCATTGGGTCCTAGTGCCCAGTGGGGAGGGACCCCAGCCGGCCCCAGACACACTCCCCCGTCCAGCCTGGAGCAGCTGTGACTCCCAGGACAGGCCCGGGAGTGCTTAGTGTGTGAGAAGGTTCTTGCCTGGCACAGCTGGCCAGTGGCTTTGCCCTCGCCTGTGGCCCATACACCCCTCATCCCCGTCTGTAGCCCTTCTCCAAAAGCACAAGCAGCCAGGCCACAGGCTGGGTGCCCACAGCTGTCTGCCCCGGCATAGCATGTGGGCACAGGGGGCCCCTTCCAGCACAGCCTGCCCCCTCCTGTAGGCAGTGGGCACTCACTGATGTCGAGGGCCACTGCACTCCAGGCAGCATGGCCCCTGCTGTTCACAAGCGGAGGAGAGCTCTGGTGTGTGATGCTGCTGCTCTGATGGCTTTGTGTCCTGGTGGAAGGTGAGCCCATGAGGGGGGCCCCTTGCTGGTGAAGCCAGGGATGAGGGTTTGGAGGTGGGGGGAGGGGTGTCTGCCTTGCCTGGCCTGGGGCAGGGGCATGCTCGGACTTCCAGCTGTGTGTAACCATCCCCTGGGCACTTGTGTTTGTTTCTATCCTAAATGGTTGCCAAGACTGAGTTGCTTAAATTTATCCCTGCCCCAGTTCATCAGTGCCCCCCTGCCCCACGTCAGTCACCTTTGCCACATCACGCTGCCTTGCCAGGCACTACAGGACAGTAAACAGCCAGCTCTTGAGTCACTGCAGGCTTGGCTTTCCCACTGCCCCCTTCCCCCCATCCCATGCTCCGCTGCTGGCTGAGCTCCTCCCTGCCCCATGCTGCCAGCGGTTGGTTAGAAAGCCCCCAGCTGTGTCGGCTGCCATGCTTCAGCTGGTGTCTCTTTCCCCAAAGCCAGCAACCCGAATGTAGTCTGCTCCCAACAGGGGCCAGCCCCAGGCCAGCTACGGGCAGAGTAGGTTGGTTCAATAGGGACCAGGTCACTGGGGTTGGCCCAGTTTATTACAGCTCTGAGCATGGCAGACAGAGACCCTATGTGTGGCCGGGGGAGGGGGGGGTATAGTCCACAGATGGGCTTTTAAGAGTGAAGCAGTGGGCAACTGGGTCCCAGTCCCAGCTGCCCTGAGCCCCTCACAGCACTGAGTTCCCGACCCTGTTCTCTAGCACCCAGGTGTGGCAGGAGCTAGGAAGCGGCATCTGGCCATCCCATGCCAATTTCACTCCTGGCTGCACTTCATCCCTCCCACTCCATCTCAAGCCAGCACCTTCATTACGAACCCCCCTTAAACTGAGCCCCATATTTGGGCTGCTTCTCCCACCCCCAGCTGTTGTCTTTCTGACCCCCTCCCCCCAGCAGGCAGCAGCTAAGTGGTTGGATTTTCCCACACAGGCTCACTGTGAGCTCCGCTCTTTTCTCCCCACACATCTGGCAGGGACTCGCAGTCCATGCAAGCGTGGTCCAGTGGGTCCATGAATGTGTCCAATAATTCCCATTGGTCACTGCTGAGTCCTGGGCCCTGTGGATCCTGCCTGTGCCATGTGCGAGGTCCACACGGACCATGAGCAGGACACCCCGTACCCCAGCTCTGAAAGAGACACAATTATCAGAAAGGGGCCTCCCTGAGCCTCATTCTGATGGGCCTGGAGTGCCTCTGCCAATAGGCACCCCCACTTTCAGGGTGTGTGGGGGTCTTAAAGAGCAGGTGGGAGCCACAGTCCAGCCCTCTGGCATCCCAGCCCCCCTATTTCCCCCAGCACTCAGCCCCGACCGCTCCGTGCAGCGGGCAGGAGAGGGCATGAGAATCCAGACGATCTCCCCCACCTACCTGCTAGCAATAAAGCCAGCTGAACCTTGGCAGAGCCCGTCTCCCTTCCCCTCCTCCCCCCCAACACACAAACACCATGTGCCCCGCTGCCTCCATTGATTTCTCATTGCCCTCCAGGCCGGCCTGGCAGGGTGGGGAGGAAGGTCACTCGGCTGTGACAGGTGGCACTCATAGGCCTGCCTGGCTTCTCTGGGAAGCTGTTTATTTGCTGGCTGAGACAGTAGCCGCCCCATTGCCACCCCTGCAGTCACAGGGAAGCTGCAGGACGGTCCCTGTGTCTGAGTCACTGCGAGTGAGAGAGCCGGGTAGCAAGTGTCCGTACCAGCGCTTGCCTGCACGGTGGGTCAGTCACCTGGATGTGGCAATTCCTTTGAGGGTTGCTCAGGTGGCCTGGGCAAGCTCCGAACTGGTGCTTGGGGGGCCAGACATCCCAAGCCGAATTGCCAGTGCAGACAGGTGCCACACCGCAAGTCCCTGCAGGCCAGCTGCTCCCTGCTGACCGAGTGTGTCCCGTCCATCTTCTGGTCTCACTCGCTGCAGCCTGGCCCCCACGTTGCAGTTTCTCCCAAGCACAAAGAGCTGCAGCCAGAGCTGGCCCCGCAGAGGGGTCTCATGTTTGCTCGGCGTTCTCTGCCTTTTGCATTCCAACGTGGCCTGTTCAGTGCTGGCTCTCTCCAGGGCTCCCTGTCCCTCTGTGCTCCGAGCCTGGCAGCTGCATCGGGCTGGGGACGGTGGGGGAGTCAGCGGGCTGGGTGGGGGGTGTCTCCCAGGCCTGCGCACTAGGCTAGGGCTCTGAGGCACTCCAAAGCCCCCAGGAGACCTCAACAAAGCTCCGGTGTCCCCACAGGCTGGGCTGGCTGCTGGGGGGTGGAGGGAGCTGCCCTACCACCAGGCACCCCAGGCCCACATGATCCCTACACACACTTCCATGGCCAGAGTCGTCAGAACATTCTTGGCCACCCCAATCTCCATGAGAGCTGGTGGGGTCCCCATCTCAATCTGTGCCCCCACAAATCACTCCAGAAACTCCCTGCACTCCCTCAGCTGTGTGCGGCCCCAGTGAGCTCTGGCTTCAGGCCGGAGCTGCACGAGCACCCAGCAGGACTGTGGTCCAGTACATGGGGGCCGGAAGGCGCCTGGTCCAGCCCACAGGGCCTATGTGGGCTGGGAATCTCGATCTGTCCCCCATCCCCGCGCATGGTGCTGGCTGGGCACACAGGGCACTGTGTACATAGCCCCCTGGTGTGTATAAGTGAGTGCCTCTCCCGTTTGGTTTGCGCACACCGTCCACGTTGGGATCATTGTCTGGGGTTGGGGAGAGACCCCTGTTGTATTTGACACATTTTATTGGGGGAGCTGTTGTCCCCCCCTTTTTTTGGAGTTTTTTCATTAAATAAACTGTGGTTATTTCTTAGAAGGCATTTCTTTATTTAATCAGTTTGTGTCTGTTCAGCCTGAACCCTGCAGGGGGCTCCCCAGTCCACAGGGGGTCAGAGCTGGGAGCCAGGACTCCTGGGTTCTGTTGCAGCCGGAGCTCTGTGAGCCCAAGTCAGCTAAGATAGGCCAGCTGTGGGTGTTTGATTGCAGTGTAGACATATGCTGTGTGACGTGGGCCATTGTCTGTTAGACCCTAATGGACACATGCTCACAAGAGACTCCCACCCCTCCCACTGCTGCCCCCTGCTGGGAGAGGCCAGGAGGAGGCTGGAATTGCAGGGTCACGCCGACTCCAGCAGAATGACGAAGCCCCTTCCCTGGGGTGCTGGAACCATTTTAGACCGGGGGGTGGGGGGGTGTTCTGGAAGCCATTGAAATAGGGGGAGGGATAGCTCAGTGGTTTGAGCATTGGCCTGCTCAACCCAGGGGTGTGAGTTCAATCTTTGAGGGGGCCATTTAGGGATCTGGGACAAAAACAATTGGGGATTGGTCCTTCTTTGAGCAGGGGGTTGGACTAGATGACCTCCTGAGGTCCCTTCCAACCCGGATATTCTATGATTCTATGAAACTGTGAAGCCTCTATGATGGGAGCCAGACATTCGGTTGCTGCTGTAATTCAAGCTAGGGGGTGCTGCCTCACCCCTAGTGCCCTGCCCCAGTCAGTGTGATGGCCCTGGCCTGCCAACCCCCCCACACACTACACCATTCAAGAACCATCCTCCTGCTGGGGTCTGTTGCCTTAGGGCTGCTGCTGCCTGGCGAAGAGCCTGTGGTACTACTGTGAGGGAGGCAGGATGGGCTGGGCCTCAGCTCTGTGGCCCGGGACTGCTCAAGGGGATCGCTCAAACTTGGCTGCAGTGGAGAATTGCTGAGGGGAAATGCTCCCACTGGGCCAGAGAGAGAGACATGCCCCCCTCCCCACACACACCCTGGGGGAAGAGAGCCTGCCCCTCTCACCATACAGTGGCAACCCACCCCCAGCCAGACCATGCCGCCTGCCAGGCCTTGTATGGAAAAACACCCATGGAGCAGCTGCAGCCTGCATTGTCCCAGCTCAGAGCAGCAGCAGCACCAGCTGGGCCTAGGGGCTGCCAGTTTGGGCCCTGCATCCTGGCTCATTCCACCATCACACTAGCCCCCTGCCTGTGAATAGGGGGCTGCCAGAGAGACAAACTACCTGGGTGCCAACAATGCAGCTGTGGGGACAAGAAACTGCTTTCACCGTTGGCAACTAGCTCTATAAACACCCTGCTGGGTGCACCAGCAATGCCACTGAAGTTCAGGAAGCTACATCAGGGATGTAACTGTCCCTAGCCACTGCAGCCAGAGGCCTAGATCTTCACTCCCATGCACACGTACACACACAACTGTATCCTGGACAGCGGCGATTGTGGGAGCAGAGTGGACAAACCAATGCTGTGGCAGAACAGGCCAGTGCGACCCATGGCATGAGTAGGAGCAGGGAGGGGATTTTACTGTGTCTATGGCACTGGTGAGACCCACCCTGTAACAGTGCGTCCAGTTCTTGGGACCACATTTTGAAAAGGATGTTGAATAATTGCAGAGGATGCAAAAAAGAGCCGCAAAAAAATCTAGCGGGCTGGAGAAAATACCCGCCTGAGGATTTAGAGCTCAGTCTGTGATTGAGAGGTGACTTGGTTATGGGATATAAACACCTTCCTGGGAGAAGACACTGGGAACTAAAGGGCTCTTTAACCTAGCAGAGAAAAGCAGAACAAGAACCAATGGCTGGAAGCTGAAGGCAGACACATTAGAAATAAGGAACCAGAGGCTGATTAACGGAGTGAGTGGTGGATTCGTAATCTCTTGGTGTCTTCAAATCCAGACTGTACCCCTTTCTGGAAGAGGCTTTAGTCAAACACAAGTGATTGGGCTGAATACAGGGTTAACGGTGAAATTCTCTGGTGAAAACAGTGAAATTTGTGCTGTACATGAGGTCAGACTAGATCAGGGATGGGCAAACTTTTTGGCCTGGGCCACACTGGGGTATGGAAATGGTATGGCAGGCCATGAATACTCATGAAATTGGGCTGGGGTGCGGGAGGGGAATGAGGGCTCCGGCTGGGGGTGCGGGATCTGGGATGGGGCCAGAAATAAGGAGTTTCAGGGTGTGTGGGGGCATGAGGGGGTTGGGATGCAGGAGGGAGCTCCAGGCTGGGACCGAGGGGTTCGGAGGGTGGTAGGGTGATCAGGGCTGGGGCAGGGGGGTTGGGTACGGAGGAGGGGTGTGAGGGCTCCAGCTGGGGTGCGGGCTCTGGGATAGAGCCAAACATGAGGAGTTCGGGGTGGGGGGGTGAGGGCTCTGGGGTGGGGCTGGGAATGAGGGGTTTGGGGTGCAGGAGGGGGCTCTGGGCTGGGACTGAGGGGTTCGGAGGGTGGGAGGGGGATCAGATGGGACAGGCTGTTGGGGCGCAGGGAGGCTCGGGTGCAGGCTCTGGGCGGCGCTTACAGCAAGCAGCTCCCAGAAGCATGTCCCCCCTCTGGCTCTGAGGTGCGCCCAGGCGGCCCTGTGCGCTGCCCCGTCCACAGATGCCACCCCTGCAGCTCCCATTGGCTGGGAACCATGGCCAATGGGAGCTGCGGGGCAGTGCCTGCGGACAGGGCAGTGCGCAGAGCCATCTTGCCATGCCTCTGCGTACTACGTGGGAACTGGAGCGGGGTCATGGCGGCTGCTTCTTGGGAGCCACACGGAGAGGGGCAAACCTCCGAACCTGCTCTCCGGCTGGAGTGGGGCAAACTCCTTACCCCGCTCCCCAGCGGGAGCTGAGGGCTGGGTTAAATGGTCTGACAGGCTGGATGTGGCTCGCGGGCCATAGTTTGCCCTCCCCTAGACTAGATGGTGATGGGGTCCTCAGTGACTGACCAAGGACGTAGCAGGGAGGGGGTATCAAACTCTGTTTTAGCCATGTTGAGCTAGACAGCCACAAGGTGATGGCAGAGACAGGCTGGGATTTCAGTGTGGACAGGAGGAAACAGGTCTGGAGCAGAGAGGCAGATCTGTGAGTCAGCAGCATACAGATGGTAGCTGAAATTTGTGTTTGCGGATGAGATTACCCAGAACTAAGGGGAAGAGGGAGGAGAGAAGAGGACCAAGGGCAGAGCCCTATTGCCCACAGAAAGCAGGAGAGGTGGGGTGGGGGGGATCTTCTGAAGGACAAACTAAAGGAACGATTAGAGAGTTAGGAGGGGAACCAGGAGAGGACAAGATTTCAAGAAGAGGCGCATGGCCAATGGTGTCAAAGGCGGCTGCCAGTTGAAGGGTGATGAGGATGGAGTACTGGTTCTGAGCTTTGGCTGAGAAGGGGTCGTTAGAGACCGGGTGAGAGTGGTTTCATTGGAGTACATGGGGTGCTATGGGGTTGCAGTAGGGCTAGGATGGAACTGGAGAGGAACTCTGCATGGTGAAACGTGGCCAGGGGCTGGCCTGTGTGCCAGGGCTGTGCTTTCTGCCATCCCTTCGAAGTCTGCCCAAATTTGGCCAAGTTATAAACCTTTGAAGAATTGCAGTTTGCACAGTAAACTTGCTAGAAGCTTTCCAGCTACATTCTGGGCAGATTCAGTCCACCCTGAGCAGGCTCCAGCCTGGGGGTGCAGGGCTTTCCCCATCATTGCTGCTCTGGGCTGCTGCAGGCTGGGTGCTGGAATTGAGAGCAGGGGCCCTGTCTTTTGTGTGCTCTCCATGACCTCCCTGCTCCCCCACCTGTCTGCCCAGACACCCCAGAGGAGGAAGCTGCCTGATTCAAATGCAGAGGGGGCCAAGAGCTGGAGCGGGGGTGGGGTAGAGAGCAGGAAGTAGTACACTGGCCCAATGAGCTGGGGCGGTCGGGAGGAGGCTGAGGCTGGTAGGATGAAGACTGGGACTTGGACTGGCCTAGCCTGGCGCCACAGGGTTATGACTCCTGCTTTTGATGCCACCATGCTGGGGCAAATGAAAATGCAACCAGGGGCTGAGGGTTGTGACGGGGACTAGGAAAGGAAGTCTGATAACTAGAGCCTGGGCCTGGCTCGCTGAGAAGAATGGTAGGGGGATGATGACCCAAGGCTGGGAAAGAGACAGGCCTGGGGCAGTTTGGAGGGGATGAGGCAGAAGTCTGTGCCCACTGAAGTACTCACCTCTTCAGAGCCCAGAAGGGAACCCGAGATCCCTGCACATTAATTTGTCTTCCCAAGACCCTGCTGAGGTGAGAGGGGGGGTATTATCCCTGTGTACCACAGGGCAAGCTGAGGCCCAGACAGATGAAAGGCAAAAATCGCCACTAATTTGGAGTGCCCACTGGAGACAGCTAGCGCCTGGTTCAGCATTACTTGGCATTTGTGTGTGCAAAGCTCAGCTCCCGTGGACTTCTGGTGCAGCGGTGAGTGCTCGGCGCTTCTGCAGATCAGACCCCAGGGGCTCAAGCCACACGGCCAGAGAACGAACAACACACCATTAGTGATCACTAAAGTCTGGATGAAGTGACTGGCCCAGCAGCCCACAGGAACTCGATGGCAGAGGCAGGGGCAGACTCCACCTGCCTGAATCATGAGCCCCTCCTTCCTCTCCCTGCAGCCCCCTGCCCCCTCCACTGCTCTGGCCAACTGCTGCAGCAAGGGGGGCACTGCCCCCCCCCCGGCCATCGTGCGCCTGGGTGGCGCTAGCCCGGTCCCGTAGGTAGAACCCAGGAGTCCTGGCCCGGCCTGGCTCCCTGAAATCCCGCCCCCCCCGCTCTAACCACTAGACCCCACTCCCTGCCCAGCGCTGGGGACGAACCCAGGCGTCCGGGCCCCCAGCCCCTTTCTACCCAGCTCCATCTTTCTTAACTGTGCAGTGCACCGCCCCCCTCCGGACACCTCCCCTTTACCGCCCCCTCCCTTTAGCGCTCTGCTCCTCCCCTTTAAGGTGCTGGCTTTCTGCTCACCAGACACTAAATCGCCGCCAGCCGCTTCCCCTTTACAGCAGGCAGTGTGGGGGATCATGTGGTACGGCCGCGGAGGCTGCTGGGTAGCGATGGGGCGGGGCGGGATGGGGCTGGCGGCAGCTGCAGGTCGGAGCTGAGACCGGAGGGGAGAGAGAGAGAGAGAGAGAAGGGGGCGGAGCCTGCAGCAGGTAGGGGCGGGGCTACACGGGGCAGGACTCGGGTGTGTGTGGGGGGGTATGTCTCGCAGGGCGCTGGGGTCAGCCCGTGTTTGTCGGGCTGGGGGGGCTCTGGGTCCAGCGGGGACCGGGTGTGTGTGTTCCTGTGAGTCCACGGGCTGGACAATGGGGGGGCTCTGGGTGTGTGTGAGTCCACTGGGGACCTGGAAGGGCTGGACACTGGGGGGGCTCTGGTTGTGTGAGAGTCTACTGGGGACCTGGAAGGGCTGGGCATTGGGTGGGGGCTCTGGTTGTGTGAGAGTCCACGGGGGACCTGGAAGGGCTGGGCACTGGGGGGGGGGGCTCTGGTTGTGTGAGAGTCCGCTGGGGACCTGGAAGGGCTGGGCACTGGGGGGGGGGCTCTGGTTCTTGAGAGTCGGGGCGGGGGGGAATGGGGGGGGGGGGGGGGGAGAGTCCACGGGGGACCTGGAAGGGCTGGACATTGGGGGGGGGCTCTGGTTGTGTGAGAGTCCACGGGGGACCTGGAAGGGCTGGACATTGGGGGGGGCTCTGGTTGTGTGAGAGTCCACTGGGGACCTGGAAGGGCTGGGAGGGGGACACATCTGGAATGGTCCCGGGCGGGAGCGGGTATTGCGGAATTTGTTCGTCTAGCGTGGTGGAGAGGGGCTGGGGGTCATCGCCTCTGGGATGGGCCTGGGTGGTGCGGGGAGGGGACTATGACATTTAGGGTTGGGGAAAGGGGACTCCACATCTGGAATGACTTCGCCAGTGCGGGGAGGGCGGTATTGGGGGATTTCTTCCAGATCTGGAATGACCCGATGTGGTACGGAGGGTGTTGCTCTCAGATCTGGAGTGGCCCCGGCTCTGGGGTATGTGTTGAGGGGAGAAGTGTCTGGCAGGGCAGAGGGGCTGGGGGGATTACACCATCTCTGGCCTGGCCCCGAGCCCTGTGGGGTGGCTTCTCCTCATCTGGAAGGGACCCAGAGATATGAGAGTGCAGTGGGGGAGGGTTACTGCACATCTGGAACGGCCCTTAGTGGTTTGGGAGGGGTGTTGGGATTACTGCACATCTGGAATGGTCTCAGGTGGTTTGGGGGTACTGGGGTGAGTCCCCCCACATCTGGAAGGGCTCCGGGCGATGCGCGGGGCGGGGGTTGTGTCTGCCCGGCCAGTGCCGAGGCCGCCGCTCCTCTCGCTCCGGCTGCAGGGGAGGCGGGGCAGCGGCACGGAGGGCGCATTGCGGACCAAGCGCGTCGGGTTGGGCAGCCGGGGGCAGGTGAAGGACGCGGGCGGGGCCGGGGCTGGGGCCGGGGGAGCGAGGGGGGCGCCCAGGGCGCGGCGGGTGGAGGTGCAGAGGGGCCCGGGGGAATTGCACGGGGCGCTGAGGTATAAGGTGGGCGGGAGGGGCAATCTCAGGGCCAGGGGAGCATGTCCTGGGGGGGCTGCGAGGTCCTCCGGGGTGGGTCCGGGGGGGTCTCAGAATGACACCGGGGTGTGTGTAGGGGGGAGCTTGTCCCGCCGGGGAGCTCCAGAGTGCGCTGGGCGTGGTGATGGGGACTATGCAAGGTGTGGTGGGCAGAGAGATGCGGGATGTGCTGGGGCAGTTTCAGGGTGTAGTGGGGGTCGGGGGAGATGAGGGGAGCAGTGGGGGAAGTTTCAAGGTGCAGTGGGGTCGGGGGAGATGAGGGGAGCAGTGGGGGAAGTTTCAAGGTGCAGTGGGGTCGGGGGAGATGAGGGGAGCAGTGGGGGGTTCGGGGGAGACGAGGGGAGCAGTGGGGCAGTTTCAAGGTGCAGTGGGGTCGGGGCAGATGAGGGGAGCAGTGGGGGGTTCGGGGGAGATGAGGGGAGCAGTGGGGCAGTTTCGGGGAGCAGTGGGGGGTTCGGGGGAGATGCGGGGTGCGCTGGGGAGGGGTACCGTAACCATTTGGACAGTGAGGGTGCTGAGAGACATTGAACCAAACTAAACCCTCTGTATGATAGAAAAAACTTCAAGCCTGGGGGTGCAGTAGCACCCCCCCTCCCTAGTTCTAGCGCCTAAAGTGCTGGGACAGTTTCCAGGTGCAGTGGGGAGTCGGGAGGGGAGATGGTGGGGGAAGGTGGGGGCAGAGAACGATCTCTGTCTCTCCCTCCCCGAGGGGGGTGACTGGGGTCCCATTTTACCCCAGAGCAGTGCAGGGAGCTGCTGGCTGAGCAGCGCGTGCGGCCTGCACCGCATTGCGTCGCTATCGTCTGGGCCGCCGGCCCCCTGCTGGGGGAGGCTGGAACTGCAGCCGCGGAACCAGGGGTCATTCCAGAAAGATGAGGGAGCCCATGTACCATGATCACACTCCCCTCCCCAGCTGAGTGAGGCTAGAAATTAAAGGGACACAAGGGGCATCTAAAGAAGTTAAAGGGACATGGGGGGCATCAAGGAGTGGCATCTATTGGTTACATTTGGGAGTACAGGGGGTCAGGGTGGGAGTCAGGACTAGGGTTCTAGTCTAGCTTTAGGAGGGGAGTGAGGTCTAGTAGTTAGAGCAGGGGGCCTGGGAGCCAGGATTCCTGGGTTCTGTTTCCTGGTCGGGGCGGGGTCTACTTACTGGTTAGAGCGGGAGGGTTGGGAGCCAGGATTCCTGGGTTCTATTGCCAGGTCTGGGGAGCAGGGTGCGGGGCTGATGTCTACTGGTTAGAGCGGGGGGGCGTGGGAGGGGGCTGGGAGCCAGGACTCCTGGGTTCTGTTTCCATGTCAGGGGGTGGGGCGGAGAGAGTGGGGTTTAGTGGTTAGAGCAGAAGGGTTGGGAGCCAGGACTCCTGGGTTCCGTTCTGAGGGGTGGTTGTGCCAAGCCCCTGAATGCGTGTTGGGGGGAGTGTAGTTGTGCCAGGTCCCTGTCTCATAGCCCACTCCCCGCAGGAGCCCGGCCATGGCGACCATGGTGTACCCGCGAGAGGAGAAGCTGAGCCAGGACGAGATCGTGCTGGGCACCAAGGCAGTGATCCAAGGCCTGGAGACGCTGCGCAGCGAGCACCACTCCATCCTGGCCACCCTGCTAGACACCAGGAACTGCCTGGACAAGCAGCACGAGGCCAGTGCTGTGCAGGAGAAGTCCAGCCTGGTGCGCAAGTCCTTGGAGGCCATTGAGCTGGGGCTGGGGGAGGCCCAGGTGAGGCCTCCAGGGGCCCTGGCTTCCTGCCCCAGCTCAGGGATGTGAATTGGTTATAGTTGTTGGGGGTGGGGGTGCTGAGAGCCAGGATTCCTGGGTTCTGTACGCAGTTCTGGGACCTAGTGGGTTAGGGCTGGGTCTTTGAACCAGGACTCCTGGGTTCTAGTGCCAGATATGTCACTGGCAGAATGACCGTGGAGGCAAGTCCAGTTTCTCTCTGAAAAGAGACAGTCGTCCCGTCCTGTCCCCCCAGATCAGATGTGGCCTGTGGGTAGTGTCAGGGCTCTTGGGGAGTTGTGATGGGGGGGGCAGTGGAGCCTGTGGGGTGGAGGAGGACAAGGGGTTCCTGTGGGGGAGAGGGAGGCTGGTGGTGGGGCAAGGGGAGTGGGGAGGGTGAGAGGGGGTGGAGGCTGGGGAATGCAGGTAGGCAGTGGCAGGTGTGGGGGCAGTGGGTGCCTGTCAGGGGGTGTGGAGGGGAAGCGGGAGGGCTGTAGTCGTGGGAGGCAGTGGATGCCGGGGGAGGGCTGTAGTTGTGGGGGGCAGGAGGTGCCAGGGGGAAGGGGGAGGGCTGTAGTCACAGTGGGCAGTGGATGCCGGGGGATAAGGGGAGGGCTGTGGTTGTGGGGGGCAGGCTGTGGTTGCCTCGGGGGCTTGTCCCCATCTCACATCCCCCCAGGTGATCATCGCTCTGTCGAGCCACCTGAGCGCGGTGGAGTCTGAGAAGCAGAAGCTGCGGGCCCAGGTGCGGCGCCTGGTGCAGGAGAACCAGTGGCTGCGGGACGAGCTGGCGGGCACCCAGCAGAAGCTGCAGCGTAGCGAGCAGGCCGTGGCACAACTGGAGGAGGAGAAGAAGCACCTGGAGTTCATGAACCAGATTAAGAAGTTTGATGACGACATCTCCCCCTCGGTGCGTCCCCCAGAGCCAGGACTCCTGGGTTCTCTCCCAGCTCTGGGGCAGGAGTGGAGTCTAGTGGGTTAGAGCAGGGTGGGCAGGAAACCAGGATTCCTGGGTTCTCTCAGCAGTTCTGTGAGGGCAGCAAGGTCTAGTGATTAGAGTAGCAGCGTGGGGCTAGGCTCCCACATGCTCCCCAGGCTGGCATGGGAAAGCTCCAGCCCTGATAGGCTTCTTCCTGCCCAGGAGGAGAAGAATGGAGAGGCAGCCAAGGACTCGCTAGATGACCTGTTCCCCAGCGATGACGACCAGGGCCAAGGTGAGCTGCCCGGCTGCCAAGGTGAGCACTGCAGGGCAGGGGCTGGCTCTCTGCCCACGGGCCCTCACGGCCTCTCTCTCCTGCAGGGCCGACGCCCGGCAGTGGGGAGGCTGCGGCCCAGCATGGGGGCTATGAGATCCCAGCGCGGTTACGCACGCTGCACAACCTGGTGATCCAGTACGCCTCGCAGGGGCGCTACGAGGTGGCCGTGCCGCTCTGCAAGCAGGCACTGGAGGACCTGGAGAAGACCTCGGGCCACGATCACCCCGATGTGGCCACCATGCTCAACATCCTGGCGTTGGTGTACAGGTGGGGAATGGGACACAGGGCCTTTCACCTCTACGGGGCACCAGTTCTGACCTGGTGCCAGGGGGCAGGGATTGGGACGTGGGGCCTTTCCCTTCTGGGTTGCACTGGCTTTGATCTGGTGCCAGAGGGCAGGGCCTGGCTGAGTCTGGGGACTGGAATATGGGGCCATTCCCTTCTAGGGGGCGCCAGCTCTGATCTGGCACCAGGGGGCAGGGACTGGCTGGCTTACAGGGGCAAGGAATGGGACAGGAGGTCTTTCCCCTCTAGAGGCACCAGCTCTGATCTGGCGCCAGTGCGAAAGTCCGCCCCGCCCAGTCTGACTGGAGTTTGGGTGGTCTCGGTTCCTGGCAGTACCCATCCCCTTTGGCCATAAATGCGTGGGCCTTGGAAATGGGGGTCTCTGCTAGGTTTGGACAGTGAGAGCCTCCCCCACCCCAGGGCTATGCTCAGGGCCCCTAGCCTCAGGGCCAGGCCTGGATGCCCGTAGCACATGGGTTTGACCAGGGACCATCCCCCCACCACAGGGACCAGAACAAGTACAAGGAGGCTGCTCATCTTCTCAACGACGCGCTGGCCATCCGGGAAAAGACCCTGGGCAAGGACCACCCCGCTGTGAGTGTGCCATGGCTGGTGGCTGGGAGTCACGGCGTCTGGGTTCTATCCCCAGCTCACAGAGGGGAGTCAGGCCTAATGGCTTAAAGAGGGGGAGCTGGGACTCCTCCGGGGTTCTGTTGCCAGCCCTGGGAGGGGAATGGGGTGTAGTGGTTAGAGTGGAGGCTGGGAGCCAGGACCCCTGGGTTCTCTCCCTGGCTGGGATGGCGGGAGTGGGGTTTAGTGATTTGAGCAGAGGGGGCTGGGAGCCAGGATTCCTGGGTTCTGTCCCTGGCTGAGGGCGTGAAGTTTGGTGGCTAGAGCAGGAGGGCTGGGTGTTGTAGGTGGGTGGCTCAGGTCTGCACTGCGCTGTTACCCCAGACTCATCCCAGGGGCTGGGGGGCTGAAAGTGCCACAGAGCTTGAACTTTCCCTAAGCCGCACAGGGACCCTCTGGGGGGAGCTGTGGCCAGGGGCTGCTGTGCAGGGTGGATGATGACGCTCCTCTGCCCCCGCAGGTGGCTGCCACCCTGAACAACCTGGCTGTGCTGTACGGCAAGAGGGGCAAGTACAAGGAGGCCGAGCCGCTGTGCAAGAGAGCGCTGGAGATTCGCGAGAAGGTGGGGGTGGTGCTGGGGGACCGCTGTGAAGGATGGGCTGCAGATCAGTAAGGTGGGATGGATGGAGGCTGGTGGGGGCTGGCAAGTGGGCGTGGCCATTGGGTGGTCTGCGAGAGGGGATACAGCTGAGGGTGGGGTCAATGAGGGGGCTTGGAGGGACAGGCTGGGGGTCAGTGATAGGATGGTGTCATGGGGCCGGAGGGTGGTACGGGCAGGGCAGCAGGCTGGGGAACCCAGGAGCAGGTGCAGTTGGGGGGATGGCAGGGCGGTGCAGCGTGATCTGGGCAGGGGCAGGGCAGGGGATCCCGTGTGAGTTGGGGGCAGAGCTGGGTGAGTCCTCAGGTTGCTTTTTGATCCCCTATCCCGGATCTACAGGATCTGGGCTGCACCCACAGCTCTTGAACAGTCTCTTGGAGAAACCCTTTAGCATGCCAGAGCCCAGGGGCCTCACTCTTCCTCCAGGGCATGCCATGCGGCCTCCCTGCCTGCCTGCTGAGACTGGCCCTCAGCTCCCCTGCTCCTGGTGGAGACTTGCCCACTCTACAGGGGTTAATGCACTGACATCATGGGTTCATGGTCTCCGGGATGCAGTGTGGGAAGCCCCCAGGTTAGCACAGGGAAAGGAAGGTAACGCCTGATGGTCAGCCCAGAGCCCAGCCAGGCTGCAGCGACCCCATTACCAGGCTCTGTCGCTCTCTGACAGTCAGTCCTCAGGGGAGAGCGCCCAAGCCCCGTCCAGCAGCCAGCCTGTCTCCTCCCAGCCCTCCGGTCTCCAGCTGGGGTCTCTGCTCCTGCTTCCCTGCTGAGAGGCAGGGGACCCCTCCCTTGGTTCCTGGGGGTCAGTGTCCTGGCGATTGGGTTTGCCATTGTCTTGTTGGGTTTTCCCCTGGTTGATCTTTCATGGCCCTTTTAATGACCCATTCACTCCACTCGGACAGCTAGGTGATGAACACCCACCCCTGTGTCTCTTAGCCTGCCCTGAGAGCCAGCTTCATCCCTTCCCCTCACCCCGGGTAGCCAGGGAAAGGGCAGGGGAAACTGAGGCACACATAGGCTTTGTCAAATCTATTGCCAAAACTTCCCTCTTCATCATCGTCCCCCCGCCCCCAGGTGCTGGGCCGGTTCCACCCCGACGTGGCAAAGCAGCTGAACAACCTGGCGCTGCTGTGCCAGAACCAGGGCAAGGCGGAGGAAGTGCAGTACTACTATGGGCGGGCGCTGGAGATCTACGAGAGCCGCCTGGGCCCCGACGACCCCAACGTTGCCAAGACCAAGAACAACCTGGTGAGAGCTGGTGCCGAGGGCAGGCAGGCAGGCAGCCACCGCACCCGCACGCCGGGCGGGGTAGGGGAGCCCGGACTCCTGGGTTCTAGCCCCTCCTTTGACTCGGTGGGATCATGTGCAGGTCCCAGGTCCCATCCTTTCGGGTGCCTATGTTTCCCCCTGCAGATGGCGAAGGGCAGCATCTGCCCTTCCCCAGGGCTGAATGTGGGCTCTGGGCTTCTCAAGGGATGAGGGCAAAGGCCCCGTGGGAAGGCAGAGAATGCTGCCCCCACCTCGGAGACTGCCTGGCCCAGCCTCGCCCCCTTGTGTCCAGACTGGGCAGTGCAGGCCAGAGCTGGGTAGCCCAGAGGAACCACCAGGTGTGTCTGTGCCCAGCAGCTTGGACAGAGACAGCCCTCCGTGCCCAGCCCTTCCTGCCCTCAGGGTCCCTGAGTAGACGCCCATGCTGACCCTGGCTCTGCCCTACAGGCATCCTGCTACCTGAAACAGGGCAAGTACAAAGAGGCCGAGGCGCTGTACAAGGAGATCCTGACTCGGGCGCACGAGAAGGAGTTTGGCTCAGTCAATGGTGAGTCGGGGGGGCCGGGGGGATGGGGGGCACGCTCCCCTCGCAGTCAGGGTTGGTCCCAATGCCCCAGTATGGCACTAGGGGGTGCTGTGCTGCAGGGAGTGGGATGGGGCTCAGTTGGGGGGTCTCCTCTTGCAGTCCCACTCCAGAGGCAGCTGTGTCCCAGTGCTGGGCAGGAATTGATGGAGCACTACTATAACCCCCCCCCCCCCACCCTCCGTCTGTCCCTGCAGGAGAGAACAAGCCAATCTGGATGCATGCAGAGGAACGCGAGGAGAGCAAGGTACCTGGGCATGGGAGTGCAGGGCTGTCGTGGGGACTGGGGGGACCCTGCCCTGGTTGCTCCCCCTGCACAGTGACTGGGACTATCCTGTGTGTCTGTGCCCCCCACAGGACAGGAGCAAGGACAGTGTCCCCTACAGGGAGTATGGCAGCTGGTACAAGGCCTGCAAGGTGGACAGGTGAGTTCAGCTTCCGGGGGGGCAACATCCAGAGCCCCATTGGAGGGTGGCAGTGCTCTCCTACACCCTGCCCAGCAGTCAGGCTCCGCCCCCTCACAGCAACTGTCTGGGAATTAGAGGAAGGGGGACTGGGAGCCAGGACTCCTGGCTTCTATCCCTGCTCTGGGGGTCAGTGGGAGTCTAGTGGGTTGGAACAGGTGAGGTGAGAGCCAGGAGTCCTGGCTGCTATCCCCAGCTCTGTCCCTGTTTTATGTTGATTGAGCTGTTTCCTCTGTGCACACAGTCTGCTCAGCACACTGTTACTTACTGCTCCCTTTGGGTCCCCTCTCCTGCCCACAGCCCCACAGTGAACACGACCCTGAAGAGCCTGGGGGCTCTGTACCGGCGCCAGGGCAAGCTGGAGGCCGCCGAGACGCTGGAGGAGTGTGCCATGAAAACCCGCAAGCAGGTATCACCAGGTCCGGGGGAAGAGGGGACTGAACTGGTTTCCTCTAATTCCCTTCCCCACCCCACTTGGGAAGGAAGGGGACGTGTAGTGGGTTAGAGCAGGGAGCTGGGAGCCAGGACCCCTGGATTCTCTCTGTGTTGCAGTGTTCTGATCTCTGTCTCCCTCACAGTGGAATGATTTTAATTATTATTGAAATCAGGAAGCAGGAAACTCCCATCTCAGAGCTATGGATGGAACCCAGGAGTCCTAGCTCCCAGTCCCCTCCCACCCTTAACACAGGTTGCCAGGATGTCAAATGTCATTTTAAGGGGGTTTATTTTTAAAAAAGAAGAGTGTCTTTCATTTCCCTGAGAACAATCGGGTGCTGCTGGTCTCCCCACAGGGCATGCACGCCATCAGCCAGACCAGGGTGGTGGAGCTGCTGAAGGATGGGGGCCGGTCGGAGCGCCGGCCCAGCCGGGAGAGCCTGAGCAACAGTGCTGCCAAGGCTGAGAACGGGCCCGAGCCCGCGGACGGGATGGGCACGGAATGGGCTGGGGTGAGAAACACGGCTGCAGCGGCAGGGATCAACAGGCAGGGCCACAATGCCAGGGGCCACTTAGCATGGTATCTCCACCAGGCATCTTCCCCACCCCCTCCTCCCCCCAGTCAGCCCCACGGGGCCCAGCCCCCACCGGGCATCTTCCCCACCCCCAGGTCAGCCCCAGGGGCTCAATCGCCCCACCTCCTCTCACCCCAAGCAGAGCCATGGGGGGGGAAATCAGGGGTGTTTGGGATAAGGGGGGAATCACATGGGGATACCCCCCACAGAACTCATCTCCCACCCCAGGGCCAGCTCCAGAGCCCTGCCCCAGATGGGGTGTACTGGCAGGGGAGTATCGGGGGTTCTGTCGGGGTGTCCCCGTGTGACTCGTCCTGCCCCCCAGGATGGCTCTGGAGTCCTGCGCCGGAGCGGCTCCTTTGGGAAGCTGCGGGACGCCCTGCGCCGGAGCAGCGAGATGCTGGTGAAGAAGCTGCAGGGGAGCAGCCCCCAGGAGCCCAGGAACCTGGGGTGAGTTCAACCCCACTATGCCGCCGCCCAGCTGTCTGTGTGTGTCTTGGGCGTCCCCTTTCCTCCCAGCCCTCCCTATTGGACTCTACCCCTCGCCAGCCTCTGCCCATGTGTGCCTTGGGGGGTGAGGGCAGGACTCCTGGGTTCTATCTCTGGGAGGATAGGTGGGGGAACTAGAGCCCAGACTCCTGGGTTCTCTTCCTGACTTTACTGGGACTCTGTTCTCTTCCTCTTCAGGATGAAACGGGCCAGTTCCCTGAACTTCCTCAACAAGAGCGTGGAAGAGTCGAGCCTGGTGAGAAGTGGGCAGGGGCAGAAGGGGGGACGAGCAGCTTGGGCCCCTCCCCTCTAGCTTGCCACCCTCCTCGTGCCCCTGCCTGCTGCCCCCAAACATTGTTGTAGCCCTGTCCCCTGGGGGCAGGTGCTGGTCACAACTGGGGGGAGGGAACCTTGTCATGCCCTTGAGCTGGGCCCCCCAGGTGCCGTGGGGATGCCGAACTGGGCCTATGCCAGGCCCCCCTGCACAGGGAGGGGAAGGGGCCACACGCAAACACACCCCTGGAGGTGTGGGCATCTGCCCGTAGTGGGAATTCCCTGCTCGGCCCAGGCACTTCTCTCCCCACTGAGCCCTTGTCAGCACTGACTTCCCCCAAGCCCCCTCACCCCAGGACCATGTCTAGCTTACAGCCCTCAGGGCCAGGGGGTCCCACAGGTGCTCGGGTGGGGAACTCTCTCTGAATGTTCCCCTGTATGTATGTGGAGGGGGAGAGGCAGGGTCACAGGAGTCCCCATCTCCTGCCTCAGGCCTTGACACCTTCCCCTGCCCAGCTTCCCCCTTCTCTAAGGGAGTGAGCCCTGACTAACCCCCCCCCCTCTTCTCTGTCCCTGCAGCCAACCAGCAGCAGCCTCACCGAGAGCCGGGGCCTGAGCGCCAGCACTGTGGACCTGTCCAGACGCAGCTCCTTGCTGGGGTGACCCTGGCCCCCCACAGACACCCACGGACACCTCCACAAGCCCCGTGGGCCAGAGTAGAGGAGACAACCCCTGCTGTTACACCTCCATTGGCTGGCTCCCCTCTCCACCCAGTGTGTAGTGACGGGGGAGGGCCGTACTCCCTGCATAGAGACTAGGGGCTCCCCACCCGCCGCGTGGCACGGCCTGGCCCCTCCTGCTCTGGGATCTCAGGCCACTCGCTCACATGCTGCTGTAGGGACAATTCCCTATTTGGGGGGGCACCCCTTCATCCCCCAGCCCCATCCCCTTAGCTGCCCTGAGCTGCCCTCACCCCTTGGGCTGGGGATCTGATGCTTGGATGGGATGGGGAGACTTGTCTGTGGGGCTGGTGGGGAAGTGTGGGGGGGGGCGTTCAGGAGGAAACCTCTGGAACTCCGCTGCTGGGTTGGAGAAGGGGAGCAGGAGGTGAGTTACATCTGCCCTCCTCACTCCTGGGTCACAGATCACCTCGTTTTTCCTTTGTATTTATGTTTTCTTCTCAGGGAGTCCCCTCTGGTGGGAGCCCCCCTTTGCTGCATGCTGCCCCCAGACCGGCAGGGAAATCCCTCCCCCTTTGTCCCTTCAGATGCAGCTGCTGCTGCTCCTCAGTATCTAGCTCCTCTGAGCTGTCTTCCCCTCACCTTCTCCGCACCCCCCACCTACCCAGAATCCTCTCTGCCCCACAGCAGGGGGCAAACCCTCCTTACTGAAGGAGGCTAGCGAGTCACTACCGTCCCCCTGGTTTGCATGGTCCTGGTGCAAGCTGGTGACACCCCCCTCCCCGCCCCCCCCAGCCTTTCAACACTAATTCCACTGCTGTGGCGGGGGGGTCTCATTTCCTCCTAGCTAAAGCCTGCACCTTACACTGGAAAACACTAGCCCCTCTGGGACCTGGGGGGCAGGAATGGAGATAGCGATGTCGCACAATTCATTTCCCTCTCCAGCCTGTCACATCTCTTTACTCTGCCACTGGACACAGGCATAGTCCCCAACCGCTGCTGTGCCTCAGCGGGGAGGGGGCACTGTTACTGCCCTCCGAGGGGGGCCAGGGGGAGAGGCTGCTATGGAAAATCTCCCCCTAACCTGAGAGGGGTCTAGCTAGGTCCCTCCTAATCCTTCCCTCACTGGGGGCCCCTGAGCCTTCACTGCTTCACCCACCTGCCTGTCCCCATGTTGGGGGACCGTTGCGGGGTGGGGCACCTGCTGAGTTCGCTCTGGATTTACCAGTGTTGCTGTAGAAATAAAAGGTACTTCAAAATCTCTGTGTGGGGCTCTGCCTTTTTGGGATCTGGGGCCTTCCCCTCCAGGGGGTGCTGGGTCTGATCTGACCCCAGGGTGAGAGGATGGGCTGGCTCCAGGGTGGGGCATGGGACATGGGGCTGTTACCCTCTAGGAGATGCTAGCTCTGACCCAGTGCTAAGGGGTTATATTATTGGGGAATCCAGATCTGTGGAATTGGCCTCTGCCAATGCACCCTGCCCCCTTGAGCCAAGTCCGGCAGCCCCCCTAGGGGGCCCAGTTTTGTGGTTTAAGACCTCAGCTGCAGTTTCAGTCCTGAGCTTTTCTCCTGGAAGCAGGTTAGTGCCTCCTGACCCCAGGGCTCAGCCACCACGCACCAGGCCCCGCAGTGTGAGTTCAGCTAAGGCCAGCATGAGGCTTGAGAACTTTAGCACGTGGAGGACCTTGCTTTGCCCCTACCAGGGGAGTCATTTCCCAGCATCTCTCCACCACCAGTACAGAAGGGAAGGCTGTGATTGGCTCGCCATCTCAGGGCTCTGAGAGCTGGGGCTTGGAGAAAAGCACTTTCTCGGGTGCCCCTGCCTGCAATTTGAATACACTTACATAAATTTGCATATGGACAATGCCTGTCCCTACCCCAAACACAGAGATTTCCTTGTATTCATTCTACATGCTCCCAGTCCCCATTTGTCCCACAGTCACTGTCACCCGAGCCCATGCTATTGGGAAGCTCCCTCTGATTGGCTGCCTTTCCCTGGCCTCCTAGAGAAAGGAAACTAAGCTGGATATGCTGATGGACTGCAGCAGCCAGACCCTTCCCCAGCAGCCTTGGCTCCTCCCCCACCTCTAATCTAACCTGTGTGCTCTTAGCCCTTTTAATGGTCCTGGAAGCCCCCCTCCCCCCCTGGCTGCCCCTCCTCAAGGCCTGGCTGCCCCTCTCCCCAATCCCAGAGAGGAGTCAGGCTATTTGGGGGAAGGGAGGTGCCCTTGCCCAAGCAGGCCCCAGGGGGAATTTCCCCATCACTTGGCTATGGGAGTGCCCTAGCAATGGGACACCAGGAGGGTAGCCCCAGTGTGAGGGGTATTGAGGCCTATGCTGGAATTGCATGCTATCACTTTAAAGGCTCAGTAAGGGTTCCTGATTCTGCTTGCAGGTTAGGGGGATCTATAGTAAGCCTGCATGTGTTTGAGCAGAGTTGGTTTGCAGCTAGTCAGCCTACAGCAACTTGAGGTGAACTGGGTCATTCTGGTTTTATAAGGAGCAGCCTGCTTCGTCTCTCTCTGTTGTTGGGTTTGTGTGTGTTTTCATTCTGATTTCTCAGAAATAAAGTAGCATCATGTTTCAATCTTCCGACAGGAATATTTTGTGTTTTCTTCTCCCTCTGTATCTGTATGCCATGAAATATAACAGGTGCCAGTCTGGGACTGCTATTCCCTGCTATGCTTTTTACAGTGACCCCTGTAAAGGCCAGGGCTGGAGTAGCCAGGAGTCCCCCTGGCCAGAGCTCCTGCTCCACACCTACAGCACCCCCTGGTGGGAGAGGCTGGGATCTCCTGCTCAGCCAGCTCTCCTCCCCACTGTGTTTCCTGTAGGAGTATCCCAGATTGGAGTAGCCAAGAGCTCCCACCTGCTGCCATTGCTCCTCACTGAGAGAGGCAGCCCCTGGAATAGCCGGGAAGGAGCTCCCTGTACACCTAGTGCTCCTTTGCTTCTCCTGACAGTGCCCCCTGCTGGGAGAGGCCATGGAGTAATTGTGAGCTGCCCCTGCAGCCAGTGTTCCTGTCCTGCTTCCAACAGCATCTAGACAGACAGGAAGTTGAGGGTCCACCCACGCAGTGATTGTTCTGAGTCTCTTTCTTCTATACCACTGCTCTGGAGGTTCCCTCTGGACCCCTCTGGTGGGACTTTAGGGGATGGGCACTTATGGCACAGAGTGTGGAGCTCTTGAGCATCTAAAACTGTCCACATGGGGGCTGTGTGAGGTCCCCTAGGATTACAGATGAACAGACACAGAACCAGAAGGGCCATCATTAGAAGAAACATCCTCTGTCTATCACCCAAGCCAGCCTGTCCCCAACCATTTCTGCAGCCAGCCCCACAACTAAGTACTAGGCCCAGGTCCTACTCTGTAGCACAGTGCTGCTAACAACCCCTAGAGAGGGCAGGAGCCTGTTGGAAAGAGAGATTGGAAGTGTTGGTTTCCCCTGCCTGTGATGCAAGAACAAGGGTGTGTTTCACTGAAATTAACTAGGGGTAACTGCAACAAAGGCTAAAAGCAATAGTGACTCACCCAACCAGTCATTGTGCGTGAGTCACAACCTCACTATTACCCTGACATAGGGCTAGAACCCAGCGGTCCTGATACCCAGGCCCTGGTTCTAACCACTAGACCCCCCACTCCTCTCCTCTCCTAGAGCTAGGGCTAGAAGAACCCAAGAGTCCTGGCTCCCACCCCCTCCCTTGTGCTCTGGGGTCTCCTGGGTTCTGAAGTTAGCTTGAAGTGGTCAATAAACTACATCCCCCAGGGGTCTTTGCGGCTGAGGGCTTTGCGAAGGAGACACTGAACACGTGTCTGACAAAGAGTCCGGCAAGTAAACTACATATCCCGTGAGGGATTGCGTGTGTGGCGCCTGTGCACGGGACAAGCAGCGTCTGCACGGAGAGCGCGCGAAGCCTGGGTAAGAGGAACTACGCATCCCATAAAGTCATGCGCTCTCCGCACATGCGCACTTCCCCGCAGGTCGCGCGGACGCAGGGGAAGGGGCGTGGCCAAGCGTGAGCGGGAGACTACATATCCCAGGGTGCCGGAGGCAGGCCTCCGCACTTGCGTACTGGCGGTGCCGCCCCTGGGGTGGAGGGAGGACCGAGGGGGGTGCCGCAGGCCGCCGCCATCTTGTGAGTGAGGAGGAGCCGAAATCACCGCGGGGGCGCCGCCATGAACCCCGAGTAGTGAGTGCGCGGGGAGGGGCAGGGCCGGGACCCCCGTGGCTCAGGCGGACCGAAGCCCCTCGGGGCCGCCCCCTCACCGTGGCTAGGACCCTATCCCAGAGCGCTCCCCACTGGGCCCTGAGCCGCTCTCGCCGGGGCCTTACAGCCCCGTAGCCCCGCCCCTGCTGCCCTTCCGGGGCCGCGGGGCGTCTCCTGCCGCCGCCCCCTAGCGTCCCCCGGCCGGGGTCCGGGCCCCCCGCTTCCCCTCCCTTGGCACTGCCCTGCCTCACTTGCCGGTCCGTTCCCCTCACCAGCGTCCCTGGGCCCCCCGCTCCGGCGCCAGCCGCGTGCTCGGCCCCTCCCTGGGGCGGCTGAGGGGCCTCGGGGGGCGAGACCCGGCTCCAGGGGAGAGCAGACCCGGCTCCAGGGAGCTCCCTGCGGGGCTGGGTCCCTCTGCCCCGGCGCCCGCCCCGTCACTGGGGGTCTGCGGGGAACCCGGGGGGGTGGCGGGTCTTATCCTCGCCATGGGGGGGTCAGTCCAGCCCTACAATGGGAGCTGAGGCAGCGGGGGGTGCGGGCGGTTTTGTAGCAGTCTCGTTCTAGAACAGTACCTAGGGTGGGCAAGGTTATTCCGGGCTCAAGCGCCCCACTCCTCCTTGCTGCCCGGGGGTAACTGTATGGGTGTAAAGCACCTGTACAGCAGAGTAACTCCAGCCACACTAGGGCCTTGCATTGCATTAACTAGACTGGTGTCAGTAAAGCAGGACAATGTGTACGTGAGCCCTGAACGACTGGCCTAGGGAGTCTGGAGAAGCTGAACCCAGGTCTCCCCTGTGCAGGCTGGCACCCTAACAAGTACACCAGCTGTTCTCTCAAGGGCTGATGGGATTTCAGTCGGTGCTGGGACCCGTTCAGGCCTTGGCAGAGGAGGCCAGCAAGGGACTGGTTAGTGTCCACTGGGTTGGGGGACAGGTGATATAGATGGTTGCCCTCATGTGACCTGGGGTGAGACCACCCACACCCCAGTGTGTTTCAGGGGGAGGGGCCACCAAACAGACATAAGATGGGAACAGCTTTCCACCATGGAGGCTGGCTGGAGCTAGTGGCCTGTAGGGGAAAACCCCATTTTCCACCTCGGAGCCAAACAGACCCCTTACAAACTCTGTTGCATTTCAGTGCAATTCTGTTGGGCTTCCGCCTTCCCCCATGAGGTGGTGGTTCTACAGGGCAGCAACTTGGCTGCTTCAAGTGGACTTAGTGCTAATTATCACAGCTGCTTGTCAATAGCACAGGGAAAAAGTCAAGTTGATGCAAATCATAGGCATGCTTTGAATCCTTCTTCACTGAAGCTTCCACAGCAAGGGATGTGGAGTGCCCTTCCTACTAGGCTGACTTGGCACTGACTGAAATGGGAAGTGCTCTGACTGCTTCCAGAGTGTGTATGTGACTGCAGCTCTGGGGCACTTGAGGGAGCTCAGATGTGCCTCCAGAGGGGCCATCCCCTAAGTGGGCACACAGGGAAGCTGCATTCTAGCTGGCTGTAGGCAGAAGTGGGCAGAAGTCCTCGTCCAAATTGTCTGCTTGTTGGAGGGAGAAGGTGAAGGCAATGGCAACGGCAACCTGGTCAGCTCTGGGGTTAAATAATGCCCTGATCAGAGCAGCCAGGAGTTTGGCCTCCATGGCCTCTCTGAACAGCCAGTTAGTGTTGATGACAGGTGGCTTTGTGGAGAGTGAGGCTTTCTGGAAAAGGAACTGCACATCTGGCTGGTGGCATTCCCTCTTGAGCTGCTAGGGGGCAAACTAGACACCCCCCACACACACACACTTCTCAAGTGGCGCTGGCTGCCTTTCTGAATGAAGCTGTCAACACACTTTTCGTAGCAGGTTGTCAGAGCCAAGATCTGGCACTGACGGGCAGCTCCTGTGAGTCTGCCTTTCAGATGAGACTTAGCATAGGTCCTGACTTCTTGGAGCCCAATACCCTTTCTCTTCCCAGCCTTTCTTGGGGCCATTCCATTTTTCTTCCTTTTAAATCCCTCTCCCTGAGTTTCAAATCGATACAGGATTCTGCTCTTGCTAGTATCTCTGTTGGCTGTTAAACAGCTGTTGTCTCCCACCCCAGAAGTGGTGGGTGAAGTGATGTCTGATATGCATGGAGATGGCTATGGTGTGAAAGGCACCAGGAGCATGGGAACTCCAGAAGTGGGGGTTGGGGACAATTTCAGACTGAGCCAGCACTGTTTTTGCTGCATTTTTGACCTGTGTGGGTGCATTCTCTCGGATAGCTAGTCATGCTCCCCCACTAGGGACCGCCCCAAAGCATCTGTATTGAATGTATGTTGAATTAAAGGAAAAGTGACCGGAGATAGCATGAGTCAGGGCTTCCTGTCCCCTCCCCACCAGCAAAACACACTCATTAGGAAATGGCGCTCATGTTGCCTGCTGCCAGCAGGACTTGATTGTGTCACCAGGCTAGCTGGGCCAATGAGGAGTAATGCAGCCGGGCTACCTTATTCCGTTGGTCTGAGGTGACCGATGTAACAATTCTCCAATGCTGGAAGCACTCAAATGCCCCATAATTAATTGCGAATTCCTTTGGGAGCCCCTGGAGGTATCATGGGGATGGTACAAAGGTTTATTGGGCCATTTGGAGCAGAAACACTTGTGAGAAGCAAGGGACATGTTGGATACCCCTTGTGCAGAGACCTCAAGTAATCATGGAAGGTGTTGCTGTCTCCTTGCAGCAGCATCAAGCTGGTGGTGATGAGAGAGAGGGGTCTGTTCAGATGCACCCAATGGCTGTGGCAACTATCTCCGGTGCAGTGGTGACGGTGCTCATTCCTGCCTGCATTGTGCAGGCAACTAAAGTGTTGTACTGACAGCATGATGGCTGGAAGAGGCAGGATGGGATCCGAGGAAGGAGGAGTCATGGTAGCTGCTGAAGAGCTCTGGTTGGGGCTGAGACGGAGTCTGTTCCTTTTATGACAATGCTGATCCTCCACTGGGGGGGGTGGTAAGGGAAGCTGGGCTCCAAGATTCAGTTTGGGCTGCTTCTGTACCTGAGCAATGCTGGGGGCAGTTAGGCACTCGCACTACATGGTGACCACTGACTGTTGCCTGGGTACTGACTTGAACTCCTGGAGCCTGGCTTCTGGGGATGACGAAGGGCCATATACGTATGGCTGGGCCAAACACTTGGCGCCTTAAAAAGCATGGTCGATATTGTTCCTGTGTTTCAGAGGGAACCAGTTGTGCCAGTGACATCTGTGCCTGAGGCTAGAACCCAGGAGTCCTGGGTGCCAGTGCCTGAGCCTTACCTATTGCTCTGTATTGTCTCAGAGGATTGTAAATTGCCCCATATCTGAAGGCTGGGACGATCAGCAAGGGGAAAGCATTGTCGAGGGGGCGTAAGGGGGCAGATA